ACCTCTTGGACCCATTTCTGAGCAGACTTTCAGGCAGCGTTGAGAAATGTTCCTGCTCTGGTAGACATTGCAGGTTCAGAATGTTATGTTCAACTTAGTTTTCTTTCTTGAGAATTACAGGGGAGGTTTAGACTGTAACTTTTCTCACCTCAGTTAGTGCCCCACAGGGAGCTCTCATAGGTGAGCCATAGGGACCTCCTCCTGGTGCTTTCCATGGAAAAACATTATAGTAGCTTGGAAGAAGAGATGCAGTTGTATCTGATTCTTTGGTTTAGACAAGATGGGTCCATGAATGAAATGTCATCCCTCAGATTTTAAACAGGAACATCGGGGTGAAGGGCTCCTTTGCAGTCCATCTCACACCCTCATCTGGCTCTATGGGGACTTCCAAAGGAACCTGTCACCCCCCTCACAATAGGATCCCTGAGGATTTTGCTTCTAGCTTGGGGAACTGGGTTTAAACCAGGCTCTCATCCTTCCTACACATTCATCAAGGCAATGTGTCTGCAACTCCCATTTCCCAAACTATCTGCCTTTAACCCATTTACCACCAGCACCCCATCCACAGCTCCACTGTTCTCCCTTTGCAAAGCCCTTCGCTGTAAACCAGGTGCTAAATAGGTTTGGACCTTCATCCTTTTGTCTGAAAAAAAACCAAAACAAAACAAAAAAAGCCCTCCACGATGGAGAGTTGACTTCAGGCAGAATTTACTGTCCTGAAATAGTTTCTGCATCGCAACCAGTGCAATGGCAACTGCACGCAAGAGGGCTCAGAGCAGGAGCTGAGCAGAAGCAACCAGAAACACTTGTTCAATACAGCCCCAAAAAATATTTAAAGAAAGCTTTAGGGCGTATCACTTTGCTGCAAGGCACTCATGTGAGTTTTCTTTTTTTTTTTTTTCTGCACCTTTTGCTGCAAGAGAGCTCATGTGCACATAGCTGATTTTTATTTTTATTTTTGGCACTTGTTGCTTGGTCACTGCTAAAAGCTGTATTTCATTTTAAATGGTTTTAAGTTGAGGGAGGGAAGATTTAGGTTGGATGTCGGGGGGAAATTCTTTACTATGAGAGTGGTGAGGTGCTGGAACAGGCTGCCCAGAGAGGTTGTGGATGCCCTGTCCCTGGAGATGTTCAAGGCCAGGTTGGATGGGCCCTGGGCAGCCTGGTCTGATATTAAATGGGGAGGTTGGTGGCCCTGCCTGTGGCAGGGTAGTTGGAGCTTCATGATCCTTGAGGTCCCTTCTAACCCAAGCCATTCCATGATTCTATGATTCTGTCTTTGCAGCTCCAAAGTAAGAGCAGCTCCCAGCATGGCACTGAGATGGTATTGGTACATTGGGGTTGGGCAATGCGTTGTTCCTCTGTGGGGATTTCCCCCTCTCGATATTAGTGCTTGTTCCTCAAGCCTGAACCCATCTGAATTATTTTCCCTTCTCTGCTTGCAGCTATTTTAAGAAAAGCCACTGCTTGCAGCAGCGGATGTGCGCTGGGCAACCCGGAGCATTTGCTTGGTGTATTTCAATGCTTGGAGATTGCTTACTGTTGGGGAAGGATGACGTTCCCTTAGCACACCAGGTTCAACTGCAGAGTGCAACAGATTAAAACGTGAACAGCCTGTCCCTGGATGGAGGAGTGGGTTCGTTGGGTGTTTGCATGGGGCTGGGAGACCGGAGCTCAGCCCCAAGCATGCAATGTTCCAATGCAATCCCTTCCACTCTGCTCGCCTTTTGCAAATGCTTGCAGGGTCCCCCCAAAAAACACTGCCAGCAGCAAGTGAGGGACATAACCTCTTGATCCTTACCTTCATGAAAGCCCCCATTTCCCCAGTACACTGCAAACACAATTTTCTTGGCTCCTCCAAGGTTCTGCTGACATTTTTTGGAAACGAAAGAGCTTGTTTGCAACTCTTGTTTACAAATAGCCCTCTCCTATTCCAGATGAGTAATTTTCTCTGTTGCAATGTGGTGTCTTTAGGGCAATGGCAATGTTTTAGGCAGCTGCTGGTTGAATTTTGCAATCAGAGAGAACTGTGCCCAATTCACAGATTGGTAAACTGAGGCCGCGCTGGGAATTGCTCATACAGAGCTGCATCCTTAGGGTGACGGCAGCCCAACTCTGACCCACCATCTCCAAATTTTAACCGTGCAGAATAACAGACTCATAGGATCAGGTTGGATATTGGGACTTGCAATTTCATGGGTATCTCCATCTGATGTAACTCCATTTGATGGTTGGATGAGATGATCTTAGTGGTGTTTTCCAGCCTTAAAGACTGTATGATTCCATCTGTCTTCCCGGACCTCCTGAGCATCACACAAACTGCTCCCCATTGCCTCAATGCCACATCACAAATAGATATACTGCACTGAGTGTAGGCATGAATAGCTCTCACACTTTCCTTTCAAGTTTCCATTAAAGGAAAAAAGAAAAAGAAAATAAAAGAAAAAGAAAGGGAAAGGGTGATGAATCACAGCTTAGTCAGAGTTGGGGCTGCCGTTCCCTGCATTTTGATGGCAAGGGAGCAATGCCAGAGTGGCTGGCTGCCATCCCTAAAGAGATGGGGACTTGAGGTTTTGATTTTGGGTCACATCACGTTGGGATGAGCTGCTTGATCAGCAGGGACACAAAGCAGGGAGTGGAGGAGTTTGGGCTTTGGCAGCAGAGATGCTAACAACCTATCATCACCATAGGTTTCCAGCTCTCCTGGAATTGGGATTTCATGCTCCCACCTCCACCCCCACTCCCTGTAGACCCTTCAAGGTCATTGCAGCCCATCCAGCACCTGCAAATCTCAAGCCATTCCCTTTTTACACCTCCCCACACATCTCGTGCTGCCCCACCCTTTCAAATCAGCTTGCCTTATAAATAGTAATGATGCTCCTTCCAGCTGACCTCCCTGGCAGCAGCTGGCTGCTCATGCCTTTGAAAAACCAGGCCACTTATTTAGGAGTTTAAGGATGGTCTGGCTTTCCGCTCCAGTTATCTGGCTGTCTTTAGCCAAGAATTACAAGGTGGATCTAATTTGAAGTGATGGTGATTTTCGCTCAGGCGGAGGTTTGTTCTCCTCCCACTCCTCTCAATGTTCCCAAGGCAGTGATTTTAGGATCAGCTGTGAAAAGCCACCCCGCCATCCCCACCTTCATACCTTTCCAAATCTCAGCATCCTCTCCAGTTCCCTCACAGCAGCTTTCCTCCCATCCCTCTTTTTGCCTGTGAATATACTTACCCTGCATAGCAGAGTGAGGCACCGTGTGTTGTTTTGCCCCATCCATCTTAGTTCCATATAGGGAGGCAGCTAAAAATATATTCCTTCTGGGTTTGTTACAAAAATATACACTAGGTTTGCTTCTAGAGGAGGAAAACATAATAATGTCAAATACCATATATATAGAACAATATAGAGGATTATATATAGAGAGGAGGGAAATAGCACAATATCTTGTATATACAGAATAACATGGGGGATTATATAGAAAGGAATATACAGAGAGGATGAAAATATCATGGGTATATAGAATAACATATAGCATTATATAGAGAAGAATATACAGAGAGGATTTTATATATATATATATTTATATGATAGAATCATAGAATGGTCTGAGTTGAAAAGGACCTCAATGATCATTCAGTTTCAACAGCCTGCTATGTGCAGGTCACCAGACCAGGCTGCTCAAAGCCACATCCAGCCTGGCCTTGAATGCCTCCAGGGATGGGGCATCCACAACCTCCTTGGGCAACCTGAATATATATCCAGAATAGGATAGAACCCCAGATGTACTTCTTGGCATTTTAATCTCCATGCAATATTTGCACTGTTAACACCTATACAAGCAGACATGTGGCATTTTCAGCCACAAGATACATCAGGTTTACACACTGGCCACCCAGGACCCCTCTTAGGTCCCCCTCATTGCACGGGGGCTGCACCCGAAGGGTGGATATTTAATTATTGGAGTGGAGAGGAGGGGGGAAAGAACATTTCTTCGAGTTGCTAATACAGCTTGACACGATATTCCTTAAAGCGGACAGGTCAACCCGCGGCCGTGCAGGTTGACTGTAAAGACGCGGGGATGCATCGCGTAGTGAAGAACCCAGCGCAGAGCGCACCGCCCCGCTCTCCTTCACTCCGGGGCCGGCAGCGCTGCGCGGAGCGGGGCGGGAAGAGGCGGAGCGGCGCGGGGATCCCCGCGGGGGGAGGAGGCGGCCCTGCCCGGCTCAGCCATGTGCGACGTGAGCGACGTGCGGCGCCCTCAGCCCCGCCGGCCGCCGCCCCCCCCGCGCGGGATGCGCGCACGGCAGCGCGCCTTTACGCGCCCCGTCCTTCTGCTCCGCGTTACGTTATTCGCAACCCATTTCTTTCACGTCAGTTTCGCTTTGTAATTTTTTTTTTAATTCAATTTCTGCTTCAGTCTCAACCCCCCCCCCCCCCTTTCTTTTTAGCTTTTCTCTATTTCACGTTTAAATTTTTATTTATTTAGGGCTTTTTTTTTTTTTTTCTTTTACTTTTCATTTCTGCTTTATTTGCATTTTATTTCTGCTTCATTTCGTCATTTTCTTCTTTGGCTTGATTTATTTGCATTCTCCTCCTTTATTTGCATTTTATTTCTGCTTTGCATTTAATTCTTTTTTTTTCATTTTATTTCTGCTTTTTCATTTTCTTCCTTTTTCTTTTTCTTTTTTGTGTAATTTTCTTCATTTTTCTTCTTTTTTTTTCTGTATTTTTTCTTCATATTTCATTTTTTCTGTATTTTTTCCTTTTTTTTTATTTTTTTCTTCCTTTTTTTTGTGTGTGTATGCAATTTCTCTGCTTTATTTACCCCCATTCTCTGTTGTTTTTTTTTTTTTTTTTTGCCTTTTTTCTTTTGCATTCACCTTTCTTTTTTAGAGTCCCGCTTTACCTCGTTACTTCTCCTTTTCAGTTCAATTCCTGCCTTTATCTTTACACTTTATCTCTGCTTTATTTATTTACATTTCGCTTCTGCTTCATCACATTCTTTCCTGTTTTTTTTTTTTTCCTCCTTTCCCTTACTGCCATTCCGTTTCAGCTTACTTTCCTCGTCCACATTTTTCCTTTCGCTCTCTTCACGTCCCTCTTCCTCTCTTTCTTTCCGACACCCCCACCTTCACTCTCCTCTCCCATCCCTCCCCACCACCTGCACCCCACCCAGCCCCGAACAAAGCCTGCCGGGGGAGCACAGCGGCACCGCCTTTGTCCGCGCTGCAGTGCTGGGGACGCTCACCAGGCGGCAGCTCCGCTCCGCCCTCCGCAGCAGCGCATCTCCGCTCCCCCCTCCCCCCGTTCCGCCCCCGGGGGCGTGGAGCCGCTGCCGGTTCCCCCCGGGCTACAAATAGGCGGCGCCGGAGCCTCGCCGGCTTCAGTGCGAGGAAGGGAGAGAAGCGGTGCTGCTTATCGGCGGTCCTTCCGACCCCTTTCGTGCTGCTGCTGTCGGCTGGAAGGGTTTGACTTTAAAGCGGAAGGGGAAAAACTGATCTTCTTAATTTATTGTACTTATTATTTTGCGTTTTGCTGTTAAGATCAGCACTTCGCCCTCCTCCTGTGCACGCGGTGACCGCGCAGTGCCCGCACCCTCAACCCTTCGCCCTCTGAGTAGCGGATCGTTTTTATTTTACCTTTTTCCCCTCCTTTTTTTTTTTTTTTTTTTCCTTTCCTCCCCCTCTCCCTTTTTTTTTTTTTCCTCCCTTCCCATCCCGTACAAACGCCCCAAGGTGGCCGCGGAGCAGCGCAAAAAGACCTTTGTTTTAACCATGCCCATGGAGCTGACGCAGAGCCGCATCCAGAAGATCTGGCTGCCCAATGACAACCACCCGGCGCTGCCCCGCCGCTGTGAGTACGGGCACGGGATGGGGGGAGGGGGGTCTTGGGAGGTGGTCGTAGCATCGCAGCGATGGGACGGGAGAAGCTCCTCATCCGTCCTGCGCGATGCTGCAAGCTGAGGCGAGCCCTCGCGATATCGGCACGTCCCCTTTATATTCACATGTGGTAGCGTCTCTATCATCTGTGCTGTACAACGCGGCGTGCGCTATGCTGTATCTGCTACCCATGCGATGCGATATGGCCCTGCCTCCGCTCTCCGCCGGCCCGTGATTCATTTCCAGCCCCGGCTGGAGGAAGGCGCGGCGCTCCGAGATGCGTGTGGCCTCATTCCCTTCTTCCTCCGCCCCGTAATGCCGATGGGATTATAAGGCTACGGGGCAGGTCGCTAAGATGGTCTCTCTTTAAATCCGCCAGGATTTTCGGGTTGCGCTACGCCGCGTGTGAGGTTTGATTTTTCTTTGGATAACTGGTGATCAACTCGGAGCCTTTAGCAATGAATTCAAAGCTTGTAGGGGGGAGGTTAGAACAGCGGGTTTAGAAAAATGAGGTTTGCTCATCTCCGTGCTGTGCTAAGGGTGAGATAGGAGGGTGAGAGGAGAACAGGCAGGTTAATCTTTTTAAGTCCTGCATTGATACTGGGGGTGGGCATAAAATAGCATTTCCGAGTCCTGCACCAAAGCTCGGAATGGATGTGGCTGTTCGAAAGTGAACTCTGCGCTTAAAGGAAAATAGAATATTTATTTTTATAACTAAAAGCGAACGCGTGGGTGCCTCTGTGGCATGGATCGCGAGCACGGCTCTTTGCTCGCCCTCAGCTGACAGCTGCCGCTAGGGCAGCTCCGTGGGATTTCCCAATGGGCGGCTGTGGGAATCCATAGGGCCGGGAGGGAGGGGGAAGGGGGGGGGGGGGGGGGAGAGAGAAGTGGCACTTTGCAGCCCTGCAGGAGGATGGAAGCAGTTGGGTGAATCAGTGTTTCCGATGGTTTTCTCGAGGTTTTCTTTGAGCCGCTGTGCCTTTCGGTTGGCTGGAAAAGTTGGCCCGTTTGAAGGAAAACAAAAGCAACAGATTGTGAGCGGCATTCATTTGCACGGCGGTTGCCCCGTGGCTGTGCCGTGAGGGATGCTGTGGCCCTTGTACATCTGTGGCAGCAGCTCTGCAACATCTGGATTGCTGCAGGGCTTTGCTTTTAGTGGGACTGGTGGTGTGGGGGGGTGGGGAGTGGTGTAATGCTTTGCAGCTGGAGTGCAGTGATGTGATTTTTCTCAAGGGCTGACACCTCTGAAAGAAATTCCTAAGTTGTTTTGTTTTTTCTTTTTTTTTTTTTTTTTTTTTGCTGGTTTCTGATAGGGCAGAGTTTTCTTAGCGCTGTAAGATGTTAAGCAGTTCGTTATGAACTTGGCTTCTAATTATTTTTCTTTTGGGGTGGAAACGAGCCGCGCTTAGGCATCGTTCATTGCGATCTAAGGAAAGAGCCCCACTGGGCTTTTGGAAGCAGCGGTTTCCCATAGGCAGCGTCCATTCCTCGGCGGTAACAAAGAACGGGGACACAAAGGCTCGATGTGAGGCTGCTGCGGTCGCGGTGGGGGGAAAGCAGGAGGAACTCGCAGAGCATCAACGGGAAACCGCCGAGTGGATGCTCTGCGCGTGGAATAATTGGCCCGATTGTTCCTGTCCTCATGCAGCTCGAATGGATGCGGCGATGCCTTCATCCGGCCCTCTGACTGCGATCCATTCAATGGGGGTCCGGCTGCACGTCGCTCACGTAGGGGCTGGGAAGGGGCCGGGCAGGGGGATGCAGAGGGGAGAGAAGGCAGAGGGCCTCAGTCCATTGCGTGGCTCCGCACGTGGGACGCGGAGCGATTGCATGGGTGTGGGTGCTGTGGGCTCCTTGCGGTGATGTGTGGTGTAGGAATGCGTCCCTTGGAGGTGTCAGAAGAATGGAATAGGAAAAAAAAGCTGGAAAAAAAAAAAAAAAAGGGGAATCTGAGTGGCGTGGAAGAAGCGGAGTGGGATTTTTGGGAGGGGGAGGCGCATGGGAGCGTTGCCTACAAAGAGGCAGTAAAAGCACATGGATTTGGGAGGTGGCTCTTTTTTATTTAACCATTTATAGAGGAAATTTTTTTTTTTTTTTTTTTAATTCTTTTTCCTTCTGCACTCCAGTGAGCTCTCAGCAGCTCCCAGGCACAAGGGTCTGTGATATTTTCTTATAGGTTGGAGCAATTGGGCTTGTTGAGCTTGGAGGAGGCTCTGGGGAGACCTTGTTGTGGCCTTCCAGTACTGGAAAAAAGTTATTAGCAGGAGGGGGAGCATGATCTAACAGTGACAGGATAAGGGGAAATAGTTTTAACGAAAAATGAAGAAATTTATGTCAGGTGTTCAGAAGAAATTCTTTGCTCAGAGGATTGTGAGGCACTGGGATGGGTTGACCAAAGAAGTTGTGTGAGCTCCATCCATGTAGGTTCTTATTGCTAGGTTGGATGGGGCCCTGATCTGGTGAGTGGCAGCAGCCCATGGCAGTAGGCTTGGAACTGGGTGGGCTTAAGGTCCCTTCTGACCAAAGCCATTCAATGAAATACGCTGCTGGAGCCTTTTGAAAGTCATCCCTGACCTTGGCTTACCTGGACTGCTGTCTGTAATGAGTAATGAATATGCATTGAAAACCCTGATAGTTTTCCACAGCCTGGTGAAAAGGAATGATGAATTGGGTCTTTGTGAAGCACTGGGAGCAAAACACAGGTTCTGTTTCATCCCTGCTGCAAAGTTTCCTAGAGCTCAGGGCTGGCTTTTGTGATTTTGCTGGATTTGGGCTCAAGTTACTGATTAAGTAGGTGCATGTGCTGAGTCCACCACTGACCTTTGGGAAGTGTTTCTAGGTTCCTAACCAGGTGCTTTTTCACAGTATGGAGGAACCTGGGTCTTCTATTTGATAGCAAACTGATCTGGGGAGAGACTCCTTCAGCTGTTCTCTTTGGTTTTGTTGCCCCCATGCAGGCAGGAGCTCTGTGACTGCCTCAGTTCTATTTGGAGCCAAAGGGGGCACGAACAGTACCCAGCATTGTCTCCGTCCCTCGTTAAGCACCTTTATTTTAATTGCTCAAGCTCTCTTGATATCTTTTATATCTTGTATCTGCTAGCATCTAGAGAAAGGAGGAGCTGGTCTATTCAGGTGTAATTCTTTTCCTTTCCCTCTCAAGTTGTTAGAGCACATGAGACATGTTTTCTCTGTACTTTCACACTCAGAGTAAAAGCCCTTTTCCTTTGGATGCCTGCAGCCCCCTGGGTACTCCAGTGTGCAAAATCAGTGCCTGCCACTGAGATCAGTGGGAGCTGCCCTGGGCTTTTGAAACGTGGCACCCAAGGGGACAGGTTGCACAAAGGGACCCAGTGCACTGTCCTGAGGAACACAGAATACTTAAAGGGGGTGAGGGAGAGGGAGAAACCCCACCTTTTGATAGTTTTCTCATCTCCTTTCTGCTTTGCTGAGGCAGCCAAGCGGATGATGAGTGGCTCTTTGCAGTTCTGGCATTTTAACGTGTGGCTTTAATTTGGCTGTAGGATTTTTTTGTTTGTTTGTTGGAAGGGAAATGCCACATGTTTCGCATACTCTCTGCATACCTCTTGGTTTGTTTGCCCATCCCCGACACCAATCCCTCCACGCCGCCTCCATCCCCTGGCAGCTACCAATTGTGCTGCATCCCAAGATCCCACCTGCCCCATAGCGAGGAGAGCAGCTCAGCTCACAGCCCATAATTAAGGCACATTTTTATGGCTCTGCCATCAGCCATTCACTCCCCGCATTCCTTTCCCATGAGGTTTCCAGGATTGAAGGGTGGATGAGAAATCCCGTTGGAGGGGCTTGCTCCTTGCCGGGAGGGCTCAGCACGTGATGCGGGGTGGTATGAAAGGTGCCTGCCTAATCCAAATGCCATTAAGCATCGTTAAGATCTTCCCTTCCTGCCTGTAAAGAGCTTGGCTTGCTGCCTTGGTCTCTTGATGTGTAGAGCCATGTGAACATTAGTGCCGTGGGAGGGCAGTGAGATGCTGCCATGCGTGCTTTCCTACAGACCGATACATTGCCCCAGAATTTACTTTCTAAAGGATTTATGGAGAAAAGTGACTCTCCTGGGTACCTTTGTCACCGTTCTGTCTGTGTTTTGGTCATGCAGTTTTATTGAATTGGAATCATCTTTAACTTTCCAGTCATCACTCTGGGTTTACTTCCACCTGTTTGATACAGGACCCTCTTTATAACAAAAAGTAACCAGCTTAGGTTTAGAAGAAAGAGATAAATCATTCTCACGTATCTGCTTTTATATGCTAATGGTTCCAATCAAATTAGAGCCGTCCTCTGGATTTCCTAAGATCAGCCAACCATAGGGATAAGGGGTTGTGTTTGTTCCCCTTCATGGGAAAACAGAGGCACAGAGGATCCTGCAAGAAGCCTGCAAGCTGTACCTCCACAGCCATCAAGATGTACTCCTTTGTCCTTTTGGGTCTGAATTTGGGTCAGTGTGGCTTAACTGGGGCAGTGGTCTCACCCGTCGCTCATAGAGCCATCCACCATATGCTCCAGCTCTGATGTGCTCATCCAGCAGATTCCATTCTGAAACTGAGTCAGTGGATTTCTCTGCTCAAGGTTTTGGTCACTGAGGCTTATGGGTGGAAGATACAGGGGAAATGGTGCAGAGGCTTTTTGGCCTCCCTGTAACTTCAAAAGGACCTGGAGGAGGCTGGCTCAGCAACAAGGAAGATGAGCTGGTGGATTAACAGCTGCTTGTGTTTTGTTTTCTCTTCTTTCTCATAGCCTGTGGGCCACAACTTGCCAATTCTCCCACTGTGATAGTGATGGTTGGCCTCCCAGCCCGGGGGAAGACTTACATCTCTAAGAAGCTGACTCGCTATCTCAACTGGATTGGTGTCCCAACAAAAGGTGAGATGTTCACAGGCTGCTGGGAAAAGTCCTCAGAAAGTGCTGCAGGACCTCAGTGGTACTGCTGGGGGACATTGTCCCACGTGGATTGGGAGATGTTTCAAAGGAATGGGAAAAATGGGACGAAGAGATATCCATGAGCCTTTTAGAGTCTTTTACTCTAAAGATGTCTTTTCTCAGTCTGTTGCTAAAAAGTGGTATTCCTGGGAGCTGCGTGCTGATTTGATGTGTTCTCCTGGTTTTGATTATTTTTACCTTTCTCCTGCAGTTTTCAATGTGGGGGAATATCGCCGTGAGGCAGTGAAGCATTACAGCTCCTATGACTTCTTTCGCCCCGACAACGAAGAGGCTATGAAAGTCAGGAGGTGAGCATGCGCCCTGCCTGCTGTTGGTGTCCCAGATGAGTTATGAAGCTCACAGTGGAGTTACTCTATGGTTTTGGGGTGATGGATGGAAGGGCTGGGCTGGATCTTGAAATTTCCCTGCTGTAGAGGCACAAATTGAAGCTGTTGGGGCTTGGTGGGTCAAGATTGCCAGTGCATCCCTACATCATTGTTATTCTGAGATCACCAGCAGGCTCATTGGTGAGGGCATGAGCTCTGCAGTGGTGTTTGCTCTTTGCCTCTTCATTTGCAAGCTGCAAAGCAGCTTGGTTTTTCAGTAAGCTGAGGGTGTCACCTGGGAGGGAAGAATGTAGATTTGGAGCCTCCCTCACTCACCTGCTTAGCAGGGATCTGTGTGCTGTTTGACATAAGCATGTTGTAGAGCATCATTTAAAATAAATAAATAAAAAGTTAAGAGGCTGCAGTGAAAGCTCTGAGGAAATGAGGAGGGTGTGGTGCTGGCATTCAGTCCCTGCTCTTCATGTGCAGAAGAAACACGCAAAAGTGTACAGACAGGAAATCATCCAAAGCATCCTTTCATGGTATTGCTCAGCTATCTGCAAAGTGTAGAATACTTAATTTTAACTGATTTTAAATACATGGCTCTGGTCTCTTTTGCAGGCAGTGTGCTCTGGCTGCCCTGAGGGATGTTAAGCTGTACCTGACGGAGGAGGCTGGCCAGATTGCGGTAAGAGATGCCCTCTGTGGTGCTTGGCACTAATGCTGGAAGTGCTGAGCCCTGTGCAGCTCAGGGCAATGTCACCTGCAGGAAAAGGGGCCATATGCTCAGAGACTGGGAGAGGGTTCCTAAACATTCCCTGAAATTAAGCAGATGGGGGAAGGATGTTATAAAATGCCCTCAGTGGGAGAGAAAAGTGTGTGGCTAGAGTGAGCTCAGCTTTTATAAAATATCCACTGTTCCACCAAGATTACTTAGATTGAAGAAGGGCTCAGTGAGAAGCCAAGCATCCTTGTGCTAACCAGAGTCTTTGTTTTTAAAGGTTTTTGATGCCACAAATACCACACGGGAGAGGAGAGGGATGATCCTAAATTTTGCCAAGGAAAATGGGTTCAAGGTTGGTAGTGTTCTGCTGCTGCCTGTGTTGTGTAGACCGCATTACATTATTTATTATTCATTATGTGTAGTTGATCACTGATGTGTTGTCCTCATGATGCTGTGTTGTAAGGGGGATTTTGCTGCTGGAATGGGAGACTTTTCCTGGGTTTGAAAGGAGTGAAAGTGAGGTGAAGGGAATGCTTCTTGGGTGAAGCTGGGAGGACACTTGGGTTGAGCAAGAGCTGGCTGAATGTTCTAAACTTTACTGCTGGCTTTTAGCTGATCTTTGCTGTGCTTTGCAGGTGTTCTTCATCGAATCTGTCTGCAATGATCCCAATGTTGTTGCCACCAATGTCATGGTAAGAGTGAAAGCCACTTGCTTTTGTTTTCTCTTCTTTAGAATTTTTCCCTTGTGTCCAATTGGTTTTCTTTTCAAAAGACATCCTGCCAGACTCTGCTGAGGGTTAGGAGTTCTTTGTCTTTTTATGATATATTTGTCCTGGGATGAGAAGGGAGCTCTTGCAATTCTGATGATGTCCAAGGGTATCAAGGAGAGGTGTATAAAGTACTTAGGATAGCTTGGTGACCCCAAATTCCCTTTTGAAGTGATAGGTGTGGCTAAGGGCTTGTATCCCATCAGATTGCTTGGTGGGTGTGGTTTAAATCCAGTTAGATTTGGTGACTTCAGCCACATGCTGCTTCACAGTATCTATTAAGGTCTGTTTTGAGGAGAATAACAACTCATCTTAGAGGCTTCCTGCTGCTAGCTGGCATTTTGAATGGAGGAGTGACATAAAACATTGCTTATCAGCTCCTTTGGGAGCTACTGGATCTTTGATTTCTCTTCAGCAGAAATGAACTTTTGCCTGTTAGGCTTGGCTAGGGTGAGTAGATGCTAATTGGCCTACCTGGGCATGATTAACTTCAATGGAAGTGTCCTTTTCCTCCCTTGGGCTAAGCTTCAGCCTTATCTCCAGCCTGCCTTTTGCAAGTTGTTTTACAGTGTCTGAGAATGTGTCACGGGATATCCAGAGTCTACGAGGGGGTTTTCATGGGTCTTTGCCCTGCCCCCAGGACTGGCTTCACAACAGGCACCAATCTAGGGGCATTTGTACATGCTGCAGCTGCTGCCCTGTGATGGTATCCCATTGGTTTCAGGATTGGTTGGGAAGTTAACTGATGTGTAACGCTTCTGCTCAAACCCAAATCTCCAGGAAAGGCATCGTATTAAAGCAAGTTAGACAGAACTTAGTCCCTGTGAGTTGCTAGGTGGGGCAACAGCCTTCTCTGCTTGCTTCCTAACCTTTCCTTTTGGTGTGTTGCCTCCCCTGTTGTAGGAAGTAAAACTGTCCAGTCCTGATTACCGGGACTGTAATTCGACCGATGCAATGGAGGACTTCATGAAAAGAATCAATTGTTACCAGGCCAGCTACCAGCCACTTGACCCTGATGACTATGACCGGTAAGAAACTTTCCTGCCTTATAAAGAGCCTGTCTTTGAATGCCTTTTGTTTCCTGGGAACGGGGTAATGAAGTATGGAGCAGTATTTCACTTGGTGTTCAAACACGTGACTGTGCTAGCATAGTGTGTGGCCGAGGCTTGCTGTAAATCATGCTTCTTCCTTGAAAGTGTAATGCTGTTTTCTCCTGCCCGGTGTTAGGGAGTGTGTACTGGTTTTGACCATATTCATAGGAATGCAGACATCTTGAACTGGAAGAGACCTTGAAGATTATCTAGTTCCAGGCTTAAATACAGATGAAACAAAGGGATGGGCTATTGGGCTGGAGTGTTTCTGGGATGCTTTTGTCCTGGTGCCAGTTAAAAGAAGGGGTTGTTTAGACAAGCTCAGGGTTGACCCAGGGTACACAACTGAGGCTCGCTCACCCTTTGCTGTCCTGCATGGCCACGTGGACAGCCAGTCAGTAACTTTTCAGCCTTTCCACTGCTCACAGACATGTCCATGTGCTTTGTGTGGATAATTCTGGTCCAGCTCAGTGCTGTCCCGAGGCGGGATGTGCTTCTTGCTAGGCTTAATCCTCTTTACTGCTGCAAGGAGGGAAGCTGATTACACTCGTGTCACTTAGACCTCCATGAATTGCTGTGACATACCAACTTCCTGTTGAAAATAGCCTGCAGAAAATCCTTTTAGCTGAGTGATTATATTGACTGAGATACCTTACAAGGCTGTTTTGCGGAGTGACGGTTTTCCTTTCTACTTTTCCCACGGACACCTACCCCACCACTCATCCTTGCTGTGTTTTCCCCAGGGAGCTTTCTCTCATCAAAGTCATCGATGTTGGCCGGCGGTTCCTGGTCAACAGGGTTCAGGATCACATCCAAAGCAGGATTGTTTACTACCTAATGAACATCCATGTCCAGCCCCGCACCATTTATCTTTGTCGGCACGGTGAGAGTGAGTTCAACCTCAAGGGGAAGATTGGAGGTGACTCGGGCCTCTCCAACAGGGGCAAGAAGGTAAGGAGGAGAGGAACATTTCCCTGGTATTTGGCTGTAGGAGATGCCATCTGTTGGGCATTGAGTGTGTATTCAATGCCAGTTGGGATGATCTGAAGATCCAATTTTGGCTCAAGCATGGCCACAAAAAACCCTCTTAGGTAATAGTTAAGAGCTCTGTTCACTCAGTAATTGTTTCTTCAAGGATTGGTCAAGAGAGCTGGTACATGGAGGGCTAATATTTATTTTGGCTTTCCATTACCATTTTGAAGTCCAAATGGATTCACTCACTTGAGGTGTGACTTGTCAAGGACTACATAAACATCAGTTGACTCTCTGACAAATAAACAGAGCTGTGGTTAAGGATGGTGTGGGATATTTCACATTATAGGAGAGTCGAGATTGTGACATGGTTTCCTGGATGTTGCTGCTGTTCCTTGATTACATAAGGTTGCAGCTTTCTCTTCTTCTGTTCTGTTCTGTTGTTCTCATACTCCTTTATAACTTTTTGGGAATCGCAGATGTGTGAGGCTGTTCCCCCACCTTAGAACAGAAGGCCAATACATCTGCTATGGAAGACAGAAGAGGACCTGGAGAAGGGAACGTTTACTAGGAAGCAGGGAGGGAAAACTCATTGGGAAGCTGAATGGGATCCCGCTTAGATCAGGAATCAACCTCTTCTCTGTCCTACAGTTTGCACAGGCACTGAACAAATTTGTTGAGGAGCAGAACCTGAAGGACCTCAAAGTCTGGACCAGCCAACTAAAGAGAACAATCCAAACAGCAGAAGCACTCCAGCTGCCCTATGAGCAGTGGAAGGCCCTCAATGAAATAGATGCTGTAAGTAGCTTTAATTGCAGTAGGAGATGATAGTGCTGGCTTTTTTTCAGTCCTGCATAAGTCTCACCTCCAGTAGGGAGTTCTCCCTTCTATGGGGAATTGTGTACTTTTCCTGCTCTGGCACCCAAATTTTGGCTTGTGGTTTTACCTCTACCTTATACAAGATGTTCAAGATGTTGGCTTGAATAAATAGATTAAGGTATCTTTTTCATGAAACTGCTCTATATCTGACCCCTCAGCAGATTAAAGACAGTTAGTTGCCTTGGAGAAGAGTGTGTGTGTTAGGTGGGCCAATTCTTTTTAGCATGGCCAGTAACCTCATAGCTATCCTTGTCTTTCAGGGTGTGTGTGAAGAAATGACTTATGAAGAAATCAGGGACCAGCATCCAGAGGAATTTGCTTTACGTGATCAGGATAAATATTACTACCGTTACCCTTCTGGAGAGGTAGGAGACCTTTGGAGACGTGGCTCATACTTGAATATGGCCTTCTTGTTTTAATGGCTCTTCCTTACACCCAGAGTAGGAAGAAGAAAAGCAAGTGTTACCATTTTTTTTGCTAGTCCATCCTCTCCATTAGATTCACTCAGTGTTGTACTGCCCAGGTTTTCCCCTTTGTTTCATTTCTAAAGTAGTAATTTCATCCTCTGCTCTCTGCGTCACTTGCTGTGGGTTGATGTTGATATCTCTGTTTGTGTCTGGCTTGAGGAACACTATCTGCTTTCAAGGTGTGACATGTGGAGGTGGGAATTTACGTCAGTCCTAGATGGTAATTTTGGCTGTGAACTGACTTATTTAGTCCCAAATTAAAAAATCATGTCCATAGATACTTGGAAACAATAAATATTTAGTCTAATGACAGCAGGTCTAGAGGAGGGTATTTGAGAGCGACTGACATAGACTCTAAACAGCCTTTCATGAAACCTTTTAAAACCTTAGAGATTTTCAGGGTGCTTCATACTTTCGAACTTAAAAACCCACAGAGAAGGAAAAAAAATTTGAGACAAGAGACAGTAATCTCAAAGCCTCTGTGCAGTTATAGCTTACCTCAATAAATTCTTCAGGGCTGTAATCGAGACATAAATGGTTTGTTTCTTTCTCTGATTAGTAGCTATGTTGTAGAGTAGCCAAGTTGAAGCACTATTAAATTTACTCATCTTTTTTATCAGTAATCATGTTGGTTTATAGAAGCATGAAATCAATACATAGACCAAGACAATGATAATTGTTTCTTGTGAGGTCCTTGTCTTCTTGACTCTATGCCCACCTCCCTGCTCTTCTGTTTCAGTCCTACCAAGATCTGGTGCAGCGCCTGGAGCCAGTCATCATGGAGCTGGAGAGACAAGAGAATGTCCTTGTGATCTGTCACCAGGCTGTCATGCGCTGTCTCCTTGCTTACTTCCTGGACAAGAGTGCAGGTGAGCTTCCTGTCCCTGAGCAGCAGGTGGATCCTGTTGGAGGAGGGATGTAGCTTGGAGGAGATGAGATGTTCTTGTGCCCATACAGGGCCTGGAGCATGCATTTCTTTGGTATGGGGTGGGTTTAGGTGCTGAAGAAGGTGTTTTTAGAGAAGGTGGGGTTAATCTTGCTTTGCGTTTCTCCGCAGATGAAATGCCCTACCTGAAATGTCCTCTTCACACGGTACTGAAGTTGACCCCAGTGGCTTATGGTAAGTGGAAACGTTACTTATTGATGTGCTGAGGTGTTCAACTAGCACCTCCTCTTAAATCCAAGCTTCTGGGACATGGGCAGAGGTCTGGAATGGAGCACCTTGTAACACCTTCTGTTGGGTTTGCTGACAGCCTCTGTACCTCTGTGCTTCCTTCTGCAGGCTGCCGTGTGGAATCCATCTCCCTGAATATTGAAGCTGTGAACACTCACAGGGAGCGGCCAGAGGTAAGTGCTTCTTTCCCTCTGAGCCATCCCTTGGGTGTTCCTTCCTTTCCCCTGTGGTAACCCAGCACAGAGGATGACTGGGGAGACTGCTCAAAGTGCCACTGGAGAACTGGGAGCATCAGTTGGGTTCTTGCTCTGCACAGATGTGGCTGACTGAGGGTTTTCCAAGGGAAGAAGACTCTTGCATGTGCCTGCTACCTAGTTTAAAGATGATCAAGGGAAAGGTCAGCCAGTCTCTGACTTTTGCCTTTGTGCTCATCCACTTGCCCGATAGGTAATAGAGCCATGGATAGAGAAGGTGACTTCTCCCAGGTGTCCCAGCTGGCTGGCAGAGCCCATGCTTGGTGACTTGGCCAGCATCTGCCTGTGTCATTTTTCCTGGTGTGCCGGTGGCTCTATGAGGCTACCAGAAAGCTGTTATGCAGGATGGTGGATTACCAGGGGAGAAGACCCCTTGCATGGAGGGGAAGAACTCCATAAAGTCAGGTCTGTGTGCTCCACCAGGAGCTCAGAGGCCAGAACAAAGAGACATCAAAGCAAGGGGGTGCCAGCTCGGTGGTGGGGCTGGATGGTCGCTCAAGGGGAGCCCTGTGTCCCAACCTTTCCAGCTTGTGGTGATGGATCCTGTCTGGGTTTTGGATGGTCTCATCCATCCCCTTGTGGACCACATAGTTTCTTTGCTCCTTGACCTCAGTACATTGGAAAAGCTGGTCACCTTCCCATAGCATCAGGGCCATTGATGCCCTTGCATCACCATTGCCAGGAGTGGCTGTGGGGCTCAGTTAGGATGGATCAAAGCATGTGTAAAGCGCTTGGGTTCCTCTGCTTGGCTGTAAGGGCATTGCCCTCCATCCATCCCACATGCCTTGAGTTGGAGCTTGGTGCTGTGCTGACCCTTGCTGGCTGCTCTGTCCCACTTCACCATCTTTTCTTATCCACTCAGGCTCTCTCGTCTTTCCTCTTCTTGCTTTCACAGTCAGAGGGACCAGCTTTGAGGAGCAGAGCGATGGGCACCGCTCTGTTGTGCTAAGTGGTGGCTGTTGGTTACTGCTATACTTGGTAGTAATGCACGTTTTACTTTTTTTGTGATTGAAGGCTTGTGTGGAGAAACTCTATCTTGTTTCTGAGTGCAGGGCTCTTTTTTTTTTTTTTTTTTCCCCCTCCCTTTCTTGGGAAATCATATTATGTTCTCAATCATTTTGCATTAGTTTCTCTTTTTTTGGCGTCCAGAGCATTTCATTACATCCGACTAATCCTTTGCACATCGAAAGCAATTGTGGGGGGGAAAAGCAGAGGCTGCTTTAAGGAAAGAAACAACTTGCTTTTTTTTTTTTTTTCCTTTATAACTGTCGCCTTCTTCCCTTTTCATTTTTTTTTTTTTTTTAATTTATTTTTATTTACTTTTTTTCTTTGTCTCACTCTAATTTAGGAAGCAAAGAAGGGACCTAACCCGCTCATGAGACGTAATAGCGTTACCCCTCTAGCAAGCCCAGAGCCCATCAAAAAGCCTCGCATCAACAGCTTTGAGGAGCATGTGGCTGTTTCTTCCGCCTTGCCAGGCTGTGTTCCTCAGGAAGTGCCCACGCAGCTGCCGGGACAAGTTAGTTGAACTTTTTGTTTTTAGTTTTTGTTTTGTTTTTTTTTTTTTTTGGTTGTCATTCTTGTTTGTTTGTTTGTCGTCTTCCTTCTGTCGCTCCTGAAGCTGAGAACGGCTTGCACTTGTTGCATCCTGTGCTGCTGGCTCTGAGATGCTCTGTCTGCGCTTCTCCCAGTCTCTACGTTAGGTTGGTTTTTGGGAGCAGCCAGTGATAGGTGGCTGTCAGTCTTTGATCAACTCAGTGCTGTGGGTTGAATCAAGCAGCTGATCTAGGAATTGACTCTGTGTCCCCCATCTAACATTGCTGTGTCACAGAATTGTGGAATGCTTGGGGTTGGGCTGGTCTATCCCCTTGTCAAGCCAGCATCATCCAGCACAGAGTCCCCACAACCATGTCCATGTGAGAGCCTGTTGGCTAAACAGGCAAAACCAAAGGTCTCATGCCTACTTCCTCCCCCAGTGCATTTGCTCCACTGTAGACCTGGGCATTGCAACAGCACAAATGTTCTTGAGCTTCCACTGAGAAAATTACCATCAGTACCCATTTCTGCCTGCAGTTCTCTATTCCCAGAGGAATAGGCAAAATGGGCCAAAACTGAGTAGAAGCCAATTCTGGGAGTTCATCCATGCCCTGTGCATTAGCTGCCTTCTGCAACCCTGCGTGGAGACTGAGGGATTTATAGAATCATTAAAGTTGGAAATACCACTAAGATCAGCTAGTCCCACCATGAACCTGTTTCTGTCCATGTCACTCAGTAAAACATCTGCCCTTTTCTTGGAACCCTCCAGGAATGGTGACTATATCACTTCCCTGGGCAGGCTGTTCCAATACCTCACCATTGTTTCTGAGAAGAAGGGTTTGCTAATATCCAATCTGGTCCTCCCCTGCTATGTTGCTTGTATGTTATCTCTTCTTTCTCTCACTTGAAAAGATGGAGAAGGAGAGCCCTTGCTTGGGACAGGATTCCCAGAAATCAAAGCCCCATCCCTTAGTATGGCTCGAACCAGAGGAGCAGCCATATATGTACATGAGCCTCATATTGTGCTGCTTGTTGGATCTTGTCTTGTCTGCTCCTTCTTTGCCATGTCTGTGTTGTCCCCAATCCCTCCTTTACCAGGATTAGTGTGATGTGTCCCCTGGCTCCCCGTTAACTGCTCTGCTTCATTTCTTTGCATGAACCTTTCCACCCCATACAGCACTGAGCGCATCAGTTCCTCAGTTTCTTGGCTTTTGGGGCTTTGCTTTGGGATGCTCAAGTCTTGCAACAAACCCTGTCCTGGCTTCAGGGTCTGGAAGTGTTTGGTGTCCAGGTGCCCCACGCTGCTGTTCCATGTTCCCTGCCCTGTCTCATGCAGCATTACTGACACCTCTCTTTCCCTCCTCTCTGTCTCTCTACAGCCTTTACTAGGAAAGGCATGCCTGTAAGTACCTTCTTGCGTCTTATTCTCTTCCCTCCCTCTTCCCCTGCTTCTCACTGTCCCACTGGTTATTCTGTTGCCGTGAAACCTCGCTGGGCATGGTTTTCTTGGACTGAATATTTGTTGGGGTGGGAATTGGGTGCGTCTTAAGAATTACAAAGAGGAGGCTATGAATGCTGCTTTGTCCAACCCCTAAGTATCCTATCTTGATTAAGTGCCCAAATTCTGTTGGGAAACAGAACACATTACTAATTCAGGATGCTGTCTGAATTCCTGCTTTCTCATTGAGTAGTTGGAGATACCCTTGGATTTTCTTTGCATTTTCCATGGTAGCACTTCACAGGTGATAGATCCAAATGGTCTGCCTGTTTTGTGGACTCTTGAGTTATGCTTGAGCGATGCCACTGAAGATTTCCAGATAAGGTTCTGACCTCAGCTTCCGGCAGGGTTTTATCACCTGTGTGGGAACTGAAATGTAATTCTGAAATGTAATGTGGGATGATCCCACGTCTGTAGTTCTGCAGATGTTAATTTTGGGACTAATCCCATTTGTCTTGGGCATATTAGACAGAAGGATGCCTTGACCTAGCTCTATAGGCAAGATGCCTTGAGCCTTTAATGCATTACTTAGGATTGACTGAGGTTTTGACAGTGCTATTAAGTTACTGTATAATAGGGACAATATGGTTCTGGATAAATTGAAGCCTTTGGACTCATTTCATGTTACCTCACTGAGTAAAGAGAGCATCAGTTATTAGACAAGGAGTTCTCAAATGTCTTCTCAAAAACTAGGGAGATGTGGGAGTTCAGCTGGGACAATGCCGACCTGTCTCTGTCCTTTATAGAGCAATCAGCCCACCTCCATACTTGTCCCCATTCATTCTGTGAGACCAAGATGGGAAGAGTTGTTATAAGCTGCCTTTGGTTGTGTGTAGCAGCTAGTGGACTTCACATTTATTCCCATTTTCCCAAAATGGATGGTAGAAAAGTCAGATTTTGGCTTTGTTGATGGGTTGGGAAGAGCATGCTGATGCTCCTGAGTGAATATTGAGCTGCCCACCACGGTGTGCATGCCTGTGCTCCTTCTCTTGCCTCAATGAAGTTTCTGGTCTGGTTGCTTTGAGAGTGACTTTCTTATCCCTCCATCTACCTTTTTCCCATCTACATTACAATAAAAAGTATTGCATGCTGGACACAAAGAAAAACCACACTGATGTTGAATTTGGGAGGATTGCATCAGATTGTGCTACACCAAGAGCTCTGGGAGCAGGTGGTGATGTCTTCCTATCCCATCTGTAGGCTGGATGCAGTGAGCTAAAGTTCTCCAATACTGGGAGTCTGTTTCCACTTACTATTGTGGGACTTAGGATTTGCTTTTGAGGGAACCAAGAAGATGCCACTAAGCATTTGGTTTGTGAGGGACCTTCACCTCTGTCTTTTCACCTTGTTTGTGCATCCAGTCCTTCAGTGTGTCCCACCACAACCCATATGGGGTCAGGGAGAGGAGGTTTCCTCCCTCCCTCCCTTGTTTGCACTGCTGGAGTTGGTTGACAGCAGCATACATCTCCAGGGATACCTGGAGAGCCCAGGGACATAATAGCTGTGTGCTCCTGGACTAGTTTGGGTTTGTGGGATGGACTGATGTGATGGTTTATTTTCCTTTTGCTTGGTTTGTGATCCAAAATGCACTTTGTAACAACAACCCAACTTAAAGTTTCTCCTCTTCCTTCCCTTCTTCTCCCCTTTCACTTTTCATGCTTAAAGACGACCTGTTTGTCACTTTCTCAAAGTTTTTTCTTTACTAATATTTCCAAGGTAAATAGCTGTGGGTGCACGTGGCTTTTCCTATCCCTTGTCCTGTCTCTTTAGTTACTGCAGAAGTGCTGTCTTGTAGTATGGCCATGGTTCCTGGTGCTTGTAAGAGACAGTTTAGGTTGTAAAAGAGTAAAAATAGGTTGAGAAGCCTTCCTAGCTGTTTCCTAGTCCCTTCCCCTCCCACCTGGCCTTTTTTTGTATAGTTTTGTGATGTGAGAAATGTCCTTGTTGTGGTCATTGCTCCTTGAGTTTCTCTGATGCTTTCCTATAGTCATCACTTCTGGGAGCTGTTCCTTCTAGTGTTCAGCTGGTTGTCCCTGGATTTGTGGTCCTTGCTGCTTGCTGTGCACTAGTGGATGTCTCTTCTTGACACTGTGATGGTACCAGGGCTGTGCTTGAAGCCATTCTAGATACCTTGAAATGTTACAGGTGAATATTGGCTTCAGCTGCACCGCTGATGGTGGCTGGTTTCCATGCCAGGTCCTCCAGGCCGTCACTGCACTGGCCAGAGGTGGTTCTGCAGCAGGGCACTGCTGAGGATGGACAAAGAATGACTTCCACCTAGCAGATGTGGGGGCGCTGCCCTCCTGTGAGGGAAGCAAGAGAGATGCTTAACTGGGCTCTTACAGTGTCCCGCCGTCTTGTCTTGCATGGACCAAAGAAAAGTTCAGGCCTACCTTTGCCAGATTCCCACCCTGTGGATGGGTCATGCTCAAAGGAGGGGCTTAGGCAGCAAGTCAACATGTCTCCCTCACCTTTCTCCTTGAGTATACAACGTCTTCTCCCTCTGTGGTAGATAGATGCTTTCTTAGTGGTGACCCATGTTGTAGCGTTGTACCCCCGTCCCTTTCTCAGTGTGCAATTGAAGATGCTCCAAGCATGACCCCAACCGTGCTCCTTCCCCTCTCGTTTCAGAACATGAACAACTCGCAGAAGCCGTCGTGAGTCCCTTAGTGCTGTCACGAGGCCACCAGCGACGCCAGCTCCCATCCCATCGTCATTTCTGAAGCTTGCTTGTAAAACAGGTCTCCTCCGTTTGTGGTGAGGTCGACCCTCGGCTGTTTCTACCCACGCCTGTTCATCTGCAAACTGCTCTGCTGAAGGGGGGAGAGAAGTGGGAGAGCGATGGAGAGGAGGGAGACGAGCTCCCAGGTCTTCAGGCTGCAGCCTTGCTCTCCTCCCTGGTGTCCTGCTAGTGTGTAGCAAGCTGGGAAGCGCTTCTAGCGCACAGGAGTTTCCAAGTTCTAATTTTTCCTTCTAAGCGGTTTTGAGCTCTTTTTGTATAGACTAATGGTACCCATCCGACTTTGGGTGGAGTGTGTGTATATATGTGAATGGTGCGGGGTTAGCAGAGTAATGGGGACGTGAAGGGAGGGTGGGAACAAAGGGGGAATTTTGATTTTTTTTTTTAATTTTTTTTTTTATTATTATTATTATTATTATTTTTTTTTTTTGCAAGAAAGCCCTTAATGTACTGTGCTGCACTCCCACGCCAGCGACAGCCTGCCATGCGCACAGCCCAGCTCATTGAGATACATAAAAACTGCTGGTTTTAGCCAGTAATAATAATAAAAACCTTCATGTTAATTGATGCATCTCGAAAGGGGGGGTTGCAGAGAAGTTCAGTGTGCTGCTATGAAGCTGGCTATATGAACTGCTTGTAATATTGAGGGGAACCACACTGACGTTGGCTCCTGGGGATGCTCTGCATTGGAGGAAAGAGGAGATGGGTGGTTGTGTCCGTGCATCACTGCAGGCCGTTAGGTGGGCAGCTGCACTGGGTGCATTTTGCAGACACACAGGTGTCTTGGCCAGAATGCAGGAAGGGTGTTGATGAGAAGTCTTGAGAAGAGAATTTTTTGTTGCTGTTCTTCTTTAATATATATATACATGCACACAGGTGTGTGTGTGTGGGTATATGTTTATACTTAGAAACCGCTTGGTTTTTGCACTTTATTTGTGGCAGAAGCATGACTATAATTTTTTTTTTTTTTTTTTTTTTTTTTTTTTTTTTTTAAACTTGTGCCTCTTAAAAGGGGAAGCTTGAATACAGGCAGTGTTTGTTTTTGGTTTTGTTTTTGTTTTTTTTAACTTTTTTTTTTGTAAGCTGGGAAGCTGGTACTGCGCAAAAGCAGTTGCTGTGGCTTCCAAGGGGTGTGTGTGTGTGCAGGGGGCAATGGACACAGTCCTTGCTTGGGCTCCATTGGCCAACTCTTGGAGGTTGGAGATAAGAGCTTTTTGATGCAGACTGTGAGCCAGCAGTTGACCGTAGCAATTAACCACTACTGCGTTGTGCAAAAATCTGTGGTTTTTCATCCAATCCCCTCCTGTGTTCAGCATCTCTCCATTCCCTTTTTTTTTCTCTCCTTTCTTCCACAGCTGAACTGTGGAGGTAGGAAGCAAAGTCATCAGGGTCTTCCTCCAACACTGGAGGGGTTGGAGATGGGCAGCCCTTTGCTTTAATCCTTTCTATGGCTTCCTCCTGTCTCCTGGGTAGGAAACAACATCCCTGCAGATGGAAGCGGAGAAGTTTGTGGGGAGAGCGTTGATTTTTCTTTTTTTCCTATTGTTGTGAGGTGTTTTTTTTTTTTTATAATTACTATTTTATTTTGGTTTCTGGGGGGGAGGAGGGTGGGGGGGGGGTCGGTCCCTTTGTCCTGTGAGAAAAAGGTGAACCACAGTGCCTAGTGCTTCAGTCCCATGCAACAAAACCACATTGCATAGGCTCGGAGCAATACCGACAGCAGGGAAGGCTCAGGGACTACAGTGGTCCCTATCCAACCATCCTGGTGGTGCCCTGTGTGAGCGTGTCCATATGTGTATATTGTACAGATGAAACAAAAACACTTATTTCCCCCCCCCCCCTTTTTTTTTTTTTTTTGAAATTGTAATAACTGCATTAACGTGGACTTGTGCGCGTGCGGTTGACGTCAGCCCTTCTAGTTTCTCTGCCTTTGAGAAGGACAGACACTGGGGGAAGGTGACTTTGCTGCCTTCTCAGCCCGTTTCCTGGGGAGCTGATGTGTCTCCTCCTGCTACCCAAAGATAAGCCAGCACATGCAAACGTGCTGTCTGGCTGCCCGTGATTAATCCTGTAAACACAATGTTTGGTGTGTATTTGAGTGTGTGTCTATGCATACATACATATACATAAAAGTCTGCAAGAAAAACAACAAACCCAAACCTTAAACTTAATTTCTTCTCTGGAAATAGAAATCTTAGTCCTACAGAAAGATGACATTTTGAAGTTGGTAGGCTTTTTCTTTTTTTTTCTCCTCCCTTCTTCAAGAGGTGAAGTTGGCCCATGAGTAGCAAAGTGGTCCTCATGCTTGGGAGTGGGTGGCCAGATGTCATCTCCATCCCATTCCATCATGCTTTCCGTTGTGTTTTGGCTGGACAACCAAAGCTCAGGCAATGATGCTGCAGCCATGAAGGGAGGGAAGGTGTGAAGATGAATTTGTTGAACCACACCAGTCATTTTTTTTTCCCCGTTTCCTTTGTTTTTCCTGTTGGTTTTTTTTTTTGTGTGTGTGATACTTGAATTTATTTTTTTATGATTTTTTTTTTTAATAGCAAAGCGCTGTTTATTTATTTAATGTATACTGCAAAGCTTGGAGAGAAGGGTAGTTACTTGGGTTTTTTTTTTTTATTATTATTTCTGCTGTTAACTGTTCTGTATATACATCTGGAATAATTGCCTGATATCAAGCTGTGCCAGCTTAAACAGGGTCTGCCTTTCAGTAATTTGTATATTTTGCAGTTGCTGGACCAATAAAATAACTTGTTGAAATACAGACTTGATGTGGTTATTCCCTTGCTTTAAATTTGTGCCCTTGGGTACAGCATGGAGGCCAGGTTGGATGGGGCCCTGGGCAGCTTGATCTGGTGTGTGGCAACCAGCCCATGCCAGGGGTTGGTGCTTGATTTTTAAAGTCTCTTTCAACCTAAACTGTTCTATGTTCCAAGTTAAGCTTGGTGTTCCCAAGGGTGACCGTGTCCCATGCAATCCTGCTGTGTACATATGGGGATTCTGTTCCTATGCCTTGTAGACTCCTCAGCCCTACAGTGCATTTTCTGCAGATCAATTGAGAAAAGCCCTTCTGCTTCCATGGCTTAACTCTTTCATTTTAACCACATGGCAGCAATTTGAAGGTTTCTATTTGGTCCATGAAGAGCTCAGTAGTAGGAATGATGGTGTGATCCATCCAACTGAGCGCTCACAAGCACTTATGGCAAGAACTCTACTTGCTCTACCTGCTACATCCCACATGAATGTAAAAGGAATCCAAGGTTGTTCAGAGAGGTGGTGGCTGCCCCGTCCCTGAGGTCAGGCTGGATGGAGCTCTGGGCAACCTGATTGAGCTGTAGGTGTCCCTGTTGATTGCAGGGGAGCTGGACTAGATGACCTTTAAGGGTCACTTCCAACTTAAATGACTGTATGACAGTTTCTGTTTGATAGCAGCCATTTATTCAAACCTGGTACACCTCCTTACAATGCTTTGGTGCTGCTGTGTCAAAGCAGAGCTGTTCTGTAGGATCGTGCTGTCTTTGCCCCACAGCTGGAAAATGGTAGATGCCACAAATTGAATTGTCAGATTCTGGGCAGTTGTGGCCCTGAAATAGGAATGAGAAGGCAAAAAAAGAAAAAAAAAAACCTTGTAGGTGTGGATTTGGCTACTGCTGGTTGACAACTGCAAGTGCCGCTCTGATCTTCCCTGGGGCTTTGGGGCAGGAGGAGTCTTTTTGGAGCAGAGCTTGAGATGCTCAGGGGCCATCTACCTTCTCTTGTCCTCATTCTGTAGGGTTTTAAAATGGGTTTGTACCTGCATTTCTCTATGCTTGCATGCAGACACTGAGAGCTGTGGGGTGATGCTCACTCTGCAAACATCCCAGAGGCGTGGAGGACTCACGCTCTCCAGGAAAGTTGGTAACCACAACGCCTTCTTTATTTTGCTTATCTAGCAACCTGCCACCCTCCATGACCTGAGTGAGGACAAAACATTCCTGCCTTGTTTTAGGGCAGGGAGCATGGCCTTGCATCCATCCCATACAGAGCTGGGCTGAGGCTGGGCACAGACACAACAGCAGCACTGCTCCTGCATCCCCTGTTATGGCTGTTTGAAGCCACAACAACCTCATCCTTGGAAGGAGACCTTAGAAACAGCTTTCACCTCCCAGGGCAGCGCTGTCAAGGCTGTTCAGCAAGGAAATGCTTTTGCTTCTCCTTCTGCATGCAGGGACAGGAAGGGACTTGTAGTGCCATCTGGTCATGTTAAGGGGGTGTGTGTGTGTCACAGGTTACTGTCATCCAAGCAACGTCTCTTTTTTTAATTACTTTTTTATTATTATTATTATTATTGTTATTTTTAATTATTGTCATTATTATTAATTTGTTTTATTATTTTTTAAAAAATTCTTTGTTTTTCTGCAAGATGCATTCTGTACCGTGGCAGACGTTCCTTGAGGCAGGCTGGATTTAAAGGTTACCCCTGACAGCAGGGAACATTTCCTGCTCATGGTCAACTCTGTCTCATTTCACTGGGTTCCGTTTTCATTATGTTAGGAAAATAAAAAAAGCAAATCCAACCTCATTGCCAGCAAACAAACCAAGAGAACTTGTGATTGCTATAAAAAAAATGCACAGACCAGTCATGCTGGCTGACTCAGCTCTGATTGATGGCTCAGGAATGTGTCTGATACGTGCAAGGGATTAAATAAACTGTGGGCAAACCTTTACAATGCAGCATGCTGTATGAAGTGCAGCCAGCACCCGTCCACCTGCCTGTGCCTGGGGATGTCTGCCACTGCACCGTGGGAGCTGTGGGGTTTGTTTCCATTTTACCCTGCAAAAAAATAAAGAATAAAAAGGAATGGGTATTTTGCAGGGTTGGGTGCTTGCTTTGCAAGGGAACTGCTTGCTGCTTGAGTGTTTTAATGGGGATTGTCTTGGTTTGCAACAGCTCCAGGTGTCTAAATGCAGGTGTGCACTTTTTCTACAATGAGATTGGGTAGGATGGGATGAGATGAGCTGGAATAAGATGGGATGACATAGCATGGGAAGAGCTGGGATGGGATGGGATGGGATGGGATGGGATGGGATGGGATGGTGGCAATACCAACCTTCTCTTCTTGATCTCCCCCATCTTTGAATGCCCAGGTTCGGGGTCCCCTGGTAAATCTCTTCAGTTGTGACTCTGATGGAGGAGCTTTTCCTCCTTGACACCTAAACTTAAATAGGAAACCCCAAAGGACAGAAGAAAAGCAATCCCCGCTGCCTCCCCTTCTAGCAGGATTGGCAGTGCCTGGTGCTAACCCCACTTGGGGAAGATGGTCAGATGGAAGGAGGTACAGCAAAGTGAAGGGCTTATTCTATCTGCCCTACAATTAATGCCCATCAAGGGATCTCGCAGCTATTTACCCTATGGCTTTGCACCAGCCTATGTCCTTCTGGTAAGAGGGAAACCAACAATACTGAAGCTCTGCTCTACCCTCAGGTCCCACAAACATAGGGTGTTTTTAAAAAACATCTCAGAATTTAAATGTTAGGTAAGAAAGGGATGTATCCAGAGAAAAGAAGAGAAAACAGGGAGCAGCCACCAGCTGTGCCACCAGCAGCAGCCACCCTTGCCCAGGTGCTCCCAAGCCCCTTGGTATAGCTGGAGAAATCTAATTTTGCACAGAACTCTCCTGGCAGCTGCAGAGCATCCTCTCAGCTCCACATCCCACCCTATGCAAGAAGACATTAGAGATACTTGGAAACCCTTTTGGCCTTCCAGTGACAGATGCTTTGTGACAGCCCCTTGTGACATCCTGAGTAAATACATGAACATTTTAAAATACTTTTTTTTTTTTTTTTTTTCAGATGGTGGGGTCACAGGGATTGCGTCATTTCCTCAGGCATGTGCTTTTCCTCATTTTAGGTCAAAAAAAAAAAAAGGTTAGAAAAAGAGAATTGAAACTGGATCTAGTTGTCAGCAGTGCTAAAAGAAATTGCACTGTCTGAAGAGAGTAACAGTGGTAAGAGTGATACTGAAATGATTGCTATCACCCTGAAATTCTTCTTCAGTGCCTGTGGCCACAAAGCTGGCTTCTGTTTACACCATTCCTTGGAGGTGCCCTGCTGCACTCTTTTTTGGAGGCGAATGGGTCATTCTAGAGCTTCCCTAGTAATCCAGCATTAGCAGAAGCATTGTCCTCATGAGCTATCACCACTCCTTGATGACCAAAACCAGCCAACAATGAGGTAAGTGCCTTGAGAGGTCTTCTTGAATGTTATCTTCCATGATCCTATGGAGGAATTAATTTGTAACACGATAAGAGCATGTCCAGTGGGATGCTGAGAGTGGTGACCTTGATGGCAAGGCAGACCAAATCCAAGTGATGAAGCTGGCCAGCCAACCTTTTGGCAAAGTGAGATCATTCTTGTCTGATCTAAGGAGGCTTGACAATGTTCCTCAGCTAGCATGACCTGAAGGGGTGGTGATGAGCTAAGGCTCAAGATCATATAGGCATTGTGAATTACTTATTACGCCAGTACAAGGCACAGTCCTTTGTATTGCATCCACACCTCATGTCAGACATTGTTAGATGTCTACTGCTGCAACAGATATCTTAGCAGCCTTTGCACTGAAATCCAAGTTGGCAAAATTTTGGCCTTGTACAAAAGTGGATGGCAGCAGAGGTTGTGACCAGAAAGCACAGCTGAACTGGAGCTATGAGAGAAGCAGTAATTAAGACCTAAAAACTAATTACCATTGTGGAGGGTGGCTTGAGAACCAGCACAGCCCCAAATCCAGATATTTCTAGCTGCAGCTTAAACCCCACAATTAAGCTGTGATTTTGGTCGTTATGAGGAGGTATTTCCAGAGCTGGATCTGGTCTTTTGCTGCCTTTATTCACCAAAACAACTGACTCAGCATCAACAGAATGAAAACCCAGCATTTTGATAAATGTCATCCAAACCAGACTGGAGAGCACTGCACTGCATTGGATGCTTTCACCAAAGCTGGATGCCAACCTGTGGGCAGAGATGCTGTTTCTTGTAGAGAGAAGGCTGGCTAGCTGGCAGGGCTTGTATTGGTTTAGAAGTACCTAAAAATACTGATGTCTTCCCTTGGGAGCAGTGAATTCCATGATATGGCAGCATGGAGAAACAAATGCTACCAAGCATTTCTCTGGTTCTTGGCCCTTTTCTACCCACCCATGACTCCAGGCATCAGTGGAAGAACAGAAGGGAAAAAATTCACACTGTCCTCGAGAATGACTTTGCAGGCACATCACACCATCAACCCAGTTTTCAAGGTAGTGGTACAAATGTTAATAGCTTATTTCCTTCCAGTCTCTCCCTCTGGTGATGCTGCAGGGACTGTGACTTACTCTGGCTGTTCGAGGGCTGCTCCTTCACCTTCCGGACAGGATTAATGTCACCAGAGGGTGATGCCACCCTACCAGCCAGCCTCCTGAGTCACCCAGTCTTCCTTCTGCCCAGCCTTGATTCAGCTGTGACAAGAGGCAGACGTGCTCTCCTGCCACACATCCTCACTCTTTTTAATTGCCCTGTTTCTTTAGCATTTGCTAGGCATTTGCAGCACTTCTTGCTCTGCAGCCTTGACATGGTATGTAGGCACCCCCCAAGCTTATCTTCCTCAAACAGCACCTAAAGGCCCTGTTTGTATCATTTAATAAACAACAAATACCTTCTTTATTGACCAATTCTGGTGTTCCTGTACTGTAACAGAACCCATCGGTGTGGATAAGCAGATCAGACAGACTCCAGCTCTCCTCATAGAAGCTACTTAGAGAAGTCATTTTCTTATTTGGCTATAAATTACCCAGCAGGGACTGGCTGCTGTATAAATAAAGCGTAATAAAATAATAATGCACCAATATTCACAGTAATTAATTTGTAATAATGACTAGGATGCCTTCCCAGACTTGCTAAACCAGCATGCAGGCTTTCAGTGAGTATTCCTGAGCACGGGCATTGCACAGAGGCTAATTTTAAGCTGCTGCTTCTGGCTTATTTTCCCTTGACTAAATCTGTTGCACAGAGGTGAGAAAAGTAGGTCTGCACACATTTCATAGAAACGTTTGTAAGAATCAGCAAACTGGAGATGAGGCTGGAAAAAAAAAAAAAAAAGTGAATTAAATCAGGAGAGCTGTAATAAAGGCTTTGCAAGACTTATGGTTGAAGTTGGCTGAACACCAAGGCTTTTGGTTCACCAGAGGTTTTCTCTTTCAAATGTAAATAAAAATAAAAACATATTCCCGTCCAAGTGGGATGGAAACCAACATCTTTCAAAAATCCCAGAGCTCATTTCCATGTCATGAATAGACATATCCTTGTCCCCTGGCAGGGTGGCAGAGTGGCAGGGGTGGCACATCCTATGAAGATCCCTCTGCAGCATCCAGCATCCTTCACTCAGCTGCAGTGAGCTGGAATCCAAACAGAACAACTCTGGTCGTCCCCTACCCATGGGGAATGGTTTTAACCCTGGGGAATGACTTTAAACCAAGAACAGGGAGATGTAGGTTCTATATTAGGTGGAATATTTTTTCTCAGAGGGTGGTAAGGCACTGGAATTTCCAGAGTGCTTGTGGATTCCCCATCTCTGAAGATGTTCAAGGCTGGGTTGGATGGGGCCCTGGGCAGCCTGGTCTGGTGGTGCTTACCTGTGGGCAACCCTGCCCACAACTAGAGGTTGGAACTAGATGGTCTTTGCAGTCCTTTCCAAACCAACACATCCTATGATCCTATGGCATTGGGACCAAACTGTTGGCCTATTTTTGACAAAACATTGTTTTGTTGGAAAACAATATGCAAGATAAACTTATGGGGATAAAGCACCACTAATGAGAGTATGGGAACTACTCTTCACCACTCAAGGAAGAGGAAATCAGGGTTTACAGGGTTAATCAGGTGGACACACACCTTGCCCATACAACAGGTCACCTTCAGCCCCTCTTGGGAGACTGGGCAGAAAGCAGGTATGAGCTCAGGAATGCAGATAGGATTCAGAGGGGTGTCTTTGGCATCTCACCATCTTTCCTTGCAATGCTCTTGGAAACCATGAGAGACAGAGGGCCACCACTGACCCAGACAGGCTGAAAGGGTTGGCAGGATAAGTTCAAACAGAAAGCCCACCTGTGTGTCTGTAGTGGTTTTAGTGAAGGTATTAATTACCCTTCTATCTGCTAAGCTGATCTGAACATGTCTGCAAATGGCTGCTTTCTCCCAGAGCTGTCTCCTTGCAAAGCTGCTGCTCCCGGCATGACTGCTCCGAGGGCTGGCAAGGACAGGACACAGCGATTAGGGGCTGTGAGGATGTCAGACAGCCTAGAAGGCTCTGTGTCATGGCTGTGAAGCTGATTTGCCTGCGAAGAGGCTGACTCAGCAGTGATGGGAGGGTTAAGCTAAGCCAGGTGATTGCACGCCTGCCACTGGGAGACAGCATGCACGTGGGATTTGGTGGATGACTGCTATTGCAATAGCTCTGAGCTTGTAATGTGAGTTTCTCAGCTTCTTTGGGAGGGTTTCTTTGCTTTCTGCATACATGCAACCCGGGAATCTGAAGCCCTCTGGTATTTCCCAGTGACCACACAAGCAGTGCATTGCATAATATTTCCCTCTGGGTTGTCCCAATGGGTTTACGTGCCATTCTGAGAGGGAGGATTGGACTTCCTGGCCTTGGCTTTTGCAGATGTTTGCCAGGAGCAGGTAGGACCCCACACAATCACACTGTCCAGGTCATTCCTCAACTGTATGATAACAGGAGGATAACAGGAGTGCAACTCTCACAGGTTATGAATCAGTCACCACCAAAAGAAATACAAGCAACAACTAATAATTAAAAACTGCTCAGGAAGTCAATTTTTAAAGTGCTAATGGTCACAAGCAAATTGGCCATCTACTTCAAAAGGGGCTGTGTTGGCCCATGTATAAACATTAGATGAAGTATCCAGAAGAAGCTGTTACATCCCTCTATTGTTTTGAATGGGTGATTTTAGATAAATACCTGCAGGACCCATTGTTCCAAGAGGTCTGAGTCCAGTTTTGTAGGAAGATGCTGTGTGGGGAACCCATGCTTACTCAAAATCCATTTGTATCCTCTAGTACACAAATGCCAGAGGTTAAGATATCTCTGTAGGAATAAACAACAGCTGCAAGGGTTTAGGAATGAATGCACCAAAGGAAACTAAGGGCTAAGAATCCAGACTTGTCTCCTCTGTTGGATCAGATATGCTTTGCAGCCCATTAGCTGCTCCCAAGCCACTCTCAGTTATCATCACCTCTGCTTGCGGCGGGGTGAGACAAAGCACAACACTGAGGCATTTGGTGTAAAATAGCTCTATTCCAGGGTGGAAATCCAGTAGCATCTGCTTTCAAGTAATTAATTAAAGAACCAAAACAAATATGCATAAAGAGCAAATGAAATCATATTGGACTGGTCATAAAGCTGTCAAGGAGCTTGTTTCTCATGCTGACTGGGATTATCTGTAGTTGTGCTATCTGTAGGAGCTCACTAGGTCAGGAATGGAGTGTAGCAGGGGCTGTGACTGCTCAGAGAAGTCATCTCCTTTTAAACAGGGCTGGAAGAGCTGGGAAAGCCAGGAAGGGTTCTTCCAGGTGAGCTTCTTTCTGTTTGAAAATATTGCTTAGTAAGTTTTCTGCAAGAATGTGCTAGACTGCGTTTATATTGGCAAACCAGCAGTTCTGCTCAACCACTATGACAGTTGGACTGGAGGAGACTGGGAGCCACTGGGTAAGGAGCAGAGCAGGCTGTGATTCACATTATGATCATGCCACACATGGCCCTGGGAAAGTCCCAACACTCAGAGCAAAAGTCAGTCCCAACAGCTGTGTTCCAACTGCATGTGGAGGGTGAGAGGTGTGGGGAATGGGGAACCACCATTTCTTGGCCTTCTGAGTCAGATGCAGAAGATGGTTTTATCCCACCAGCACACCAGCTCTGGTTAGGCAGGAAGGTGGGCAAGCAGTGCTGCCCCTCATTTATTTATTTATTTTACTATTGTTATTATTACTATTATTATTGTAGTTACTATTAACATTGCATCTATTTCTATTATTATTATGTCTGGGAGTGGCACATCTAATGCTGAGCATCTTGGGAGGTCAGAGAGGAATGCAGGCTGCACAATGGATTCATTATAGCTCTGCTGGAGCCCAAAGCCTTTAGGTGGTTTCTTTCCATCCAGGACAGGTCTGGAAGCAGATCTGGCAACTTGTCCCATTTCTTATCTCCAGGATCCCAGGCACATTTCACAGCTCCTTACCTTGGAGATAAATTCCTGTTGTAACCTCTAGCAAAAGTCACATACCTGCTTGCATGGCTGATGAACATTCTGCTTTCAGACATCCCCAAGGCATCTCCCGAAGGAAACCCAAAGTAAAAACATCCTCCCTGCCTTCCAGCATCCCTCTTCCTCTCCTGTGGTCCAAGTTATAGACTGATAAGGCAATTTGTGCAGTCCTGAGAATTGGCATGAAGTAATCTTGACCAAGCAGTGATCCCACGTCATTCATCAATCTCTGTCACCATCACTCTGGGCAGAAGTGCTCTCACCTCACACCAGTCACACCTTTCATTTCAGGATCTCTAGACAGCAGACAACTGCAGAATTCATATCATCTATTTAGGTAGATGATGGAGCCACAAAACACAAGGGCAACGGGACAGTTACCCCATCTTAACTTCTTGACCATGTGTTCAAGTGAATTTCACCTATCTGTTTAGAGTGAAGCCTGTAGAAAACATATAGGGTTGACTTCTCCCTTACTTAAGAAAGTCTGGAGGCTGTGCATACATCAACGTTTAAGTTGTGGGTAGTCACAGCTCCCTGCCAGTAAATGCAGTTCGCTCACGTGCAGTGAGTGGAAGAAGTGACTGAGAGTTGCATCTTTGCTGGGAACAGCACAGCTGCTCAAAATGAAAGAGCAGAGCAAAGCTGTGAGCACAAAATCTCGTGTTGCAGAGTCATTTCCAGTAATTGGTGCACGCAGCGTGGCTTAGGCAAAACATTTAACTGATGGGCAGTTATATATTGGATAACTCTCTCATTGCTTGGTTACAAGCTTCAATCCAAGAAGGTTTTGTACAGAGCCCAGAACTTGTGCATTGCGAAGGGAGATGGGGAACCAAGCTATGCCCATCCTTGAAGTTCATAATCTGCTGAGATCTGTGCCAGCTAATGCTTGTTTTACCCATGGTGAGAACAAGTGTTCCCAGTTACGCAAAGCAGCACGATTATGGAAATGAAGTGTCAGGTAAGCCAAAACAACCTACTATGAGATCCACAAAAAATAAAATAGAAATGTTTAGAGATGCAGAAACCACCCTCTGCTTGGAGCTGGGAGAAATGGCATCGTCCAGGACTGTGCATCAAGTCCTATCTGATCACCCACGCAATGCACCAGCTCATCATCTCCTCCTTCTCTTGCCCAAGGGATGTTTTGGCTCCAGGAATGAGAAAAGCTGATGTGACCTAAATCAGGCTTTCCTCCTGCTCCCATCCTTCCAGTTTGAGTAAACAGCAGTGGATGTGACTGAGCGCACATATGGTACCTCATCAACGCCTCTTCTCTGCTCCAGGTTGTATTCTACCTTCCCCAGAGGTGAGTTTGACTCACTGTATTTAGTGAGTATTTTAGAGAGATGCCTTCCCGTTCCCCACACTGCTCATTAATTCTCCCTGATCAGCTCATCCCCAGCACCCTTAGTGGTCACAGAGCACTTCTGACCCTCCCTCCCCCACCAAACCCCACTGGAGGGCTGGCAAAGATGGAGAAAAAAACAACATCACTGCAAAAATAAACAAGAGAAAGGCTCACCTGATCAACCTGAGTGCCAGCTCCACCCTGGGGTGTGGGATAAACACTGGCAACTATTTGTTCATCACTACTCAGCATTCAAATATTTGTTTCTCTTTGTCTCATGGACACACTCACATTCATGCAGCATGCCAGACACCTTCCTTTGCAAAGAAGCCGGGCACAGTTTTGTCCACTGAGGCAGGGCAGGAAGGAGTTCCTGCCTGTGAGGTTGTTATGAACACGTTGGGATATCTGGCAATTTGGTGTCCAGATGCACAAGAACGTTTCTGCTTGGATAGCTGAACTTCCACCTAAGTGCTCATCTGGATCACTCATTTATCCTCACGTACTCACGAGTTTTTACATATGTATATGTGTGCGCATGTATGCATATGCATTTATGCATACACGTATTTCTATCCACCCACGTTCACCTACGTATGAATACACAATGCTGGATTTGATAGTCTGGATGCCTCAACATTAGCAATGCATGAATCTGATATTTGCAGAAGTGAAAAAATGGCACATGATGCACACATCTACATCTTTTCTCAGCATGTGTCATTATAAACATGCCGATATAGAGATGTATATAATATCAGTATGCTCTTATATGAAAACGGGGCAAAGTTAGAACACTGCATTGGATGTCTCTGTCAGAGTAAACATCAGTAGAATAATTTAATTAGAAACTGTATGCTAGGTTTATTTGGCTGAGTCAATATGAATCTGGTGTGTGCACTGATTTCAGAACAGGCTGCACAGCGAGGTGGTGGAGTCACCATTCCTTGGGGTGTTTCAAGGAAAGGGGAGATGTGGCACTGAAGGATATGGGTTAGTGGGCATGGTGGGGATGGGTGGACTGGATGAGCTTAGTGGTCTTTTCCAACCTTAATGATACTATGATAGATGTCCTGATCATCCTGATGTAGCTACCAAGAAAAAAAAACCATGTCCTCGTATGACTCAAGAGGAAAAGTTTCTGATTGACTCCATGGCCACTAATGCGTTTCATCCATAGACAGATTGAATTAAGCCACAGGGAAAATGTGGAGGTGTGGCACCTGGGAAAAAAGCTTTCCTTGATGGTGAGCACACGTGACACGTGACACAGCCGCCTCTGGATCTGTCCCAGCTTGATGGAAACTGGGGAGAATATTAGTGGGGCAAATTAGTTTGCAATGTTGATTATGGTGATAAGACAACAGTGTTCAGTAAGAAATTTGATTTCCTATCTAAAATGATCACAGAATCACTGAATCATAGAGTCACAAGGTCAGAAAGGACCTACAAGATCATCTAGTCCAATTGTCCTTCTATCACCATTACTACCCAATAAGCTACTAAACCATGACAACCTGTGGTGGGACAAATAATGATGCCAGAGGTTAGGGAATAGGCCCCAGGGAAATGTTTTTTCTTTTAAAGTCTTCAAGGATGTAAAAGAGAGGAGAGTTTTCATGCAAGTGGAGAACTTTTTGGAGCTGGGGCTTTATCCAGAAGTGACCCTTGGGATGATTCTCCATTGCCCTGCAAGACTCAGGAAGGAAATTTGGACTGATAACTCAGAGAAGTGTTAAACACAGTGTGAACATTTTGTTCTGGCAAAATTCTATCTGCCCCTTATACCTACAGATAAGTAAGGAGATGTTTTATCCTTACCAATGCTTTTGTAATTTTTATGACAGCAATTTACTAAAAAGACACAAACCTTATTTGAGATTTCCCATTGCAGCTCCTGCAACACACTTCAGTGCCCCCACTGCAGTGTAAACAAAAGGTGGGTGATGCCTGGCTTGCTGAGAAGATGTGATCCTCACTTTCGATTCAGGTGATGTGAATGGCCTTGTGCCATTGACACCATTCACTCCACTGACTGGCTAGGGAGCTGGGGTCAGTCAACTCTGTAGAGTATCTCATCTACCCATCACTGGAATGACACAAATCTGCATTTCTTATCTAGGAAACCCATGCAGTCCCAAAGCCAATGCACCATAAGTTATAGCAATCTACTGGATATAATGTATGTACATTCTGTGCTCCATAAAAGACCAAAGAATTACTTTCTTCTACTTTTCCCCTGAAACCAGGAAGAACAGACAAGGAAGTCAGGGAGGTCAAGGTAATATTCTTTCAGATTCATTGAGCTACACATAAGATAAGACATGTTCTATCAGATAAGAGAAAGAATGAAGGTTCCTGACCTGAAATCTCACGGTACAGGTACTCACATGTTCCCAGCAGTCTCGTGGTAACAGTGACAGACAGTGGCTTGGAGCTGACTTGCAGCACTTCTGTAATTGGAGACACACCTGTGAAGCTATAAATGTTACTGCGTCTGGGGAGATTACTGCAATCAGAGAAAGAAGGCCATCAGCTCTCTGCAACCATGCTGAACTCTGAAAATGGAGGAGTAGCAAAGCGTTGGAGAAGGCACTACACCTGCCCAGAAAGAGGGCTGTTCTGTGGTGCATGGTTTGCTGCCATTTTCACACTCCCTGTTAGAGCCAATAACTCTCATCCACAGTGTGTGACCCTTCATCTACTAAGAGTTTCTCTAAGATTAGCCTGCTCTGCACTGAGCCCTAATGGCCCAAATTTCACCCCTTGGGTCCCTCTGTAGTGGTCTCTCGGGGGGGAAAGGGCTCCTTGACAGGCCCTGGAAGGTGAGTGTAGGTTATCCAAGGCTCCTTGGTGTGCTCCAAGGTCTTCAGCGCCATCTACTGCCACGCGGAACCATGTCTGCCTTGCCGTCTCTATAGGACACTGACGATGGTGATAGTGATGACGACTGTTGCCCTGCAAATCCTGTGGGTTGAGTGCAAATTTTAAAGTATGTTAGTGTCTGGAAACAAAACGTGCTGCTGTTTGCCTTTCAAATTCATAGAAAAGGCAAGAAAAAGCAAATAACTCGAGGAGTGCAATGAGCAAAAGCCTGGTCAAATGTAATAACTGGGAGATATGCTGCTGCTCTCTCTGATCTCCTTCTGGCTCTAGGATGTTCCCCACTGTCAGCATAAAATTATGAGGTGAAGGCTGAGTAGGCCTTTCAGTGAAGGTCAGAGGGAAGCAGACAGGGTGGTTATTGCTTTGGGTTTATTGGTTTGTTTAAGATCAGATCTGAAGCATTCCCCTCGTCAAGCAGCACAGGGGTGTTAAACCAACAAGTGAAAAGATAGTTGTGTCTGAAGCAACATATTTCCCTACGTCATGTTCTAATCTTAGTCACCTTGAAGTAAATCAGCTGAAATCTGTGAAGTTGGGCTGGATTTATAGCATAGTATTAAGCGCAGAAATTGGGCCAATGTGTTACTTCTGGGTAGAAGAATGTAGATGTTCAGCCCAGGCCTGTAAATATCCAATTTGTAGAGCAGAATAGTAAATCATCTCAAATGTTCTCAAGATTTCATCCACATGACAAGAGCTTTGATGGCCAGATGCAGAAACAGCTCAGTTGAGAGATGGTATCATACTGAAGCACTCTGTAGGCTACGTTCCTCCTCCAGTCCTCTTTTCTCTCTGCAAGAACCAGGTTATTAACTTTATAAATTGCAGAAGCTCAGTCAAATCAATCCTACTTTGCCTCTTCTGTAATGAATCCAAAGAGCCATGCAGAAGCTTCAGCACCTTTCAGCCCCATCAGTCCACTTGTAGGCAAGGGAAAAGGTGAAACATGATGTGGAAGCATTGTCTGTATATCTACAGTAGGGCAGTAAAAGTTTTACAACATAAAGGAAATGAGTAGGACTTGGATATCTCCTGGGCTGTTCCTGATGCAATTAGAGGTAAAATCCCTATCCTCAGCTTCCTTGCAGAAGAACTTGCTCTTGTTGAGGGAGTACCATGTCTTCCAGACATATAAATAACCAAAGTTATTTCAGCAATATTTTTTGCTCCTGTGTTAGCCAGTGTCCAAGAAGCTAAGACACATTTGTTTCATCTAATTTTTATGGGTAGTCAAACGAATATTAAAGTTGAGATTATTTCGAGTTAATGAGAGAGGGTATGGGATGGCTCCAAATCACGCTTTTGTTGCATTGTGTACTTTCAACTTTGAATATCTCTCTTCTGTTCCTTGAGCAGGGCACTGAATCCTACAGGTGGCTTTGACTTCAGATAACATTTTTGGCTGAGAGATCTAGAAGAGATCTCAGCACATTCCTACACCAAACAGACTTTACCAAGGTCTGATATCATAGAATCATAGAACCATAGGATGACTTGGGTTGGAAGGGACCTCAAGGATCATCAAGTTCCAACCCCCCTGCCACAAGCAAGGCTGCCAACCTTCATATCTAATACTCGACCATATATGCTGTCAGACCCTCTGTAAAGTGGAAAATAGAGGCAATTAGTATTTGAAGAATTGAATCTTGAAGAAAAAGAGATTTGGTAGTAGAATGTAAAAATTGGAGATTGAGCGCATTAAAAATTTTGCTTTGTGCCACCAACAGGCACATAGGAGCACTGGTGGTCTGTGAGTTAAATACAACCTCAGGAACTTTCGCATGTTCTTCTGATAAGGATGTGATCAGCATGTTTTAGTATTGTAATGAAAGTGGCAGATTAATATTAATTAAGAGGTTTCCATTAACGAAGGATCAGAACACAGCCCAGCATAAATGCAACAGAGATGCTTCTGTTCAGCTCCCGCTGATGTTATCAGACATCAGCTTTCTGCTGCAGATGGTTGGGTAAATTTAAAGTGTCCTCCCCTAAAACAAAACAGAATGAAAGGAAAAGAACTAAAAATGCAGCATGCTTTCTGCAGAAATGAAACTCCAGTCAAAACACTGTCTCTCTCTACTGAAGAACAGTTCCATTGACCACTTCTACTATTGGTATGAATACTAAGATTAGGCAGCCTTCCTGGATTGGCTTGTGGGTGCATAATACAACTTGCCCATTTTTGGTGTCCTGGTGTTGCCAAAGTCTACACTTCCCTTTGGCAGTCCTGCACCTTGGACAGCAGAGAGCTGAGATCAAGGGTTCATATTGACCTTAGAGTGTCTCTGATACCAAACATGCCTAGGACTGAGAAGGACAGGCCTGGGGCTGAATGATTTCACTTTCCAGTGCTTCAACTGAGCCAGATGCAAAACAGCGATAAGGGATTCTCGGAGATCTTTGCAAAGTGCATCACGACATGGTTATGTAGGAGTTAATTATTCTAATTGTTATAGACTTTTTACTACTAGTGATTTAGCACAAAGGAATCTACCTGAGGTGATGGGCAAGAAACTTTGCATAGTGCTTAGTCAGCATGATTTAGAGACAAGACATACAAGCTCTGTTTTTGAATCTGTGGCCACGACTCCTCCAAGACTTTGGCCAGGACACTTAAGCATCTCAATGGCTCACATTACTCACATGTAAAACAGTGTGCATATTGCTGAGCAGTTCAGGCAGGGAATGAATTCCTTGCTGAGACAGCCTTGCTGAGTGCCAGGAAATGCAAAGATGCTTATCATTTTCCTCCTTGTGGCTTCCATTTGTGGTCTTGGCATTGATGTTGTGCTCTGGAGGGGCCTGTGATAGCAAGTTTGAATTTGGCTTATAGCAACCAGCACGAGCAGAAGGAATATTCTACCTCTGGTAAAATATGCTTGGACAACTTTCTCCTATTCTAAACATGTAGAAATGGAGATTTTAAAAGCTACGTAATGTTGTACACTCTATCTTTCTGGGCAACTGAGACTTTTTTCATAAAATACCATAGGAATCAAGTTCACCTGATGTGTCTGCAGGTCTGAACTAAGATTGCCTATCATGTTGACTCTACCCATGTGTAGTTTCCTAAGGACATTTCTCCAAGTTGCTTCCCTTTAACTCAGTTTGAATTAGTCAGACTGCAGCTTCTAACTGCCTTCATAGAAGCATAGAATCATTGAATGGGTTGGGCTGGAAGGGACATCAAAAATAATCTAGTTCTGACCCCTTGCTCTGGACAGTTAGCCCCACCAGCTCAGCCCAGGACCCCACCCAACCTTGCCTTGAACAATTGCAGGGATGAGGCATCCACAGCTTCTCTAGGAAACCTGTTCCAGCACCTTACCACCCTCTTAGTGAAAAAATTTCCCCTGCTATCAAATCTAGATCTCTCCTCTTTTAGTCTAAAAACATCCCCCCTTCTCCTCTTACTACCTACCTGTTTTAAAAGTTGATTTCCCTCCTGTTAATAATCTCTCCTTAAGTACTGAATGACCACAATGAGGTCACTCTGGAGCCTTATCTTCTCCAGGCTGAATAAGCCCAGCTCTCAGCCTCTCTTCATAGGAGAGGAGCTTCCAGCCCTCTCCTTTCCAGAGACATGGTGATTTTCAGATCTAAGAAGATAAACATTTTCAAGCAATGAGTTAAAACCAGCTAAAATTTCCTTTGTGGAGAAAAGGGACAGATTCATAGAATCATAGAGTGGACGGCTTACATTGGAAGAGACTGTAAAGACCCCTCTGCCATAGGTAGGGCTGCTACCCACAGTCAACTCATTCTCATCTACCATAGGTAGCTCTTCACTCTTTCCTATTAGTTGTGCTTCAACTATTTCATTTTTTTTCTTTTTTCGTTTCCTTTATTTATTTACTTTTTAAAATTTTTTGCAGGTTCTTTTCAGTTCCGAATTGATGTGTGAAGAACCATAAATGTAACCAAAAGTGAGCCAGAAGACCACGACTCTGACTCAGTTTTCCAAGTTTCTTTCACTGTGGCTTCAGAATAGTGTCAAAGCAGAAGGGACTGTTTATCTTTCTGTTTATTTTCTGTTTATCTAACAGTCAAAAGTGTGGCCTCTTGCATCTTTATAACAAATCACACCAAAAGAATGGGCAAATGAGTCACAAGCACGGTGCAAAATCATCTGATAGAGTTTCCAGTTTTTTTCAGCCACTGTTGATATTTAGAACATGCTAACATGGCTCTTGAAACAATAGTGAATAAAAACAATTCGGGGAGAGGTGTGATATTTAACTTGGCCAGAGCCTTCCAATATTTCTAAATCACACTGAGGTCCTTGGGTGAAAGAGAGTATAAAGGCAAGAATATCATTATTACTAGTTTAGACTCTGCCTTCCAGGCATGTGAAGTACCAGGATCTCAAGGTCAGGGCAGAACGGAGCTGCACGCTATGTGTGTAGAGCTCTGGAATTTGATCCGAGCTGCTAATTAGAGGGGGGACTTTGAACTGCCTTGGTCAATATTTCCAGTCACAAGTTATTCACAATAACTGAAAATGGAGTTTTAAAGCATGCAGGTTATCTGTCAGCCTGGGATGAAAGGGCTGAAGTTTAATTTCAAGAGGTTCTCAAAGACACTAGGGAGAATAGCACTGTTCTTTGCAAATTAATCTCTTTGTATGGGAAAAATAAGGTATGATGAGAATCAAAACTGACTTTTCATTTGATAAGTGAGTGGCTGAATGCACACAGTCCTGACCCACAGTTGTAGAGCACAAGTTCAATCCCTGTTGAATGGGCAGGAGCTTATTGCATGGGCTCAGGGACTATTGGAGTGCTAATTTAGGGATGTTCTTAGCCATGAAGTGCACCCATATCACACAGAGACTTCTTTTGCAACATTAATTAATGAAAAGGGAAAAAATTAACTTTCTGTGGCAACGGGCATCACAGGGTCCTTTCCAGCAGGTGCAGAGAGGTTACAAATTTTCTGCATTTCTGCAAAATGTATTCATTTGTGTGAGATCAGGGTCACCCCTGTGCCAGCTGCTGTTCCAGACTAGTTCTGCATAATGGGTGCTGTAGGAAGCACTATGAGAGTGCAGTGCTTTGTGAGGAAGCTCTCTACCACTCGCTGAAAGGTGATTGTGGTGAGGTGGGAGTTGGCCTCTTCTCCCAGGTAACAGTGATAGAACAAGAGGGAATGGCCTCAAATAACAGGGGAGGTCTAGATTGGATATGAGGATGAATTTCTTCTCAGTGGTTAGGCACAGACTGCCCGGGGAGGTGGTGGAGTCACCATCCCTGGAGGTGTTTAAGGAAAGCGTAGATGAGGCATCGAGGGATGAGGCTTAGTGAGCCTGGTGGTGGTGGGTTGATTATTAGAACAAATGCTCTTAGTGGTCTTTTCCAACCTTAATGATTCTATGATTCTATGAAGCTGAGACGGTATGAGAGGTGACTGTAAAATGCCATGCCTCATGGTAAAACAGTGAGTGTAACATTCCTAGGAGATAGAAACAGGGAAAGAAGAAAGGCACTCCCTGCTTGCAGTAAATCCTTCTTGGACACTTGACCAAAAGGCTCATAAGAGTGCAATAGTAGAAATACTTAATTTTCAGTGGGAATGGTGATATGAATCTAAATAGTCATTTGCCTCTGTCTGTCCCTCTTGAGCAAGGCAGAAGACCTTGCATGCACAGATCAGATTGTTCAGTCCCAGCCTCTTCTGTGGTGAATGAACTATCAGATTAAGATGAAAAGTAATTGGCTGCAAAGTACAAAATTATTTCCTCTTCTGCATTCAACCCGTGGTGCTCTGGAATTGGTCCAGTTGCTTGCATTTTATGAAATACGGGACTAAAGTTCCTGATAGCAGGCAGAGATACAACTTGTTCCTTGGAGATAACCGACACGTGGGAAGAGATCTTTATGAGAGCCTTGTACATGTTGTGTCTGCTGCAAGAAGCCTTATTTGAACCCTGTACATTGGTAGCAGGATGCTCTTCTCATGAGCCTGCCTTGCCTTGGGTCCAGAAGAACTCAGGTAGGAGGATTTTCTTTCCAAATAGCTCCTTTCATTTTGGTGAGAACAACCCTGGGAGTAGAGCAGATTCTGGCCTTGCAAAACTATTCACCCCATCTTACCCAAGGCCATCAAAAGATCCCCATCAGGTGGGCAAATTCCCAGATGAAGTCCATGTTCCTCCCCACTTCACTTTTAATGGGAGACCACTTCAAAGATCAGCCAGCTAATATTGGGTCATTAGGGCTTCCAGTAGACAGAAAGACTGGAGAAGGCAAGTGAGACTTGAATTCTACATAGATCCTGCAGCCTGGTTCTCCTAAGTTATTTCTGCATGTCTGTCTCAGGCTATCCCAGGGCTACAGGCCATTTTGAGTAAGAAAAGGAGATAGCGTAAATGCAAATCAGTCAATGAGCTTTTCCTTTTCATTTAGTGTCATCCACAAAGAGCAACACTAGGCTTGCCTTGGCTGGCATTTAGACCATTGTGTGAAGTAAATGCTTCTGGGACTGTGTTGTCACTAAGCAGCTGACAAGAGCAACTGGTGCAAGACAAAAATGAGACTCGTTTTCTCATGTTATTGTTCACTATTTCACCCAGAATGAGAAGGAGATGATAACTTCCAACCTCAAAAAGGACAGTTAGGAGGAGCTGGTAATTCAGCTCATAGTGTGTTTCTGTTAGAATGCCCTGCTAACTAGTGCACACTTCTTGATCAGTAGTAGAGTAGTTATGAGATTAGGGTTAATGGACCAGACTTGTTGGAAGTTTTTTATTCTATGCTAATGTCAGATCAGTTGAGTCCTGTTTCTATTAGTTCTATCTTTCCAGGTTGCTGGATATAAAGGAACATGGTGCAGGAATGGGTTGTAATCACTTCTGTTTCACATCAGTGGAAGGTGCCAACACCAATGTACCTATGTGCAGGTTTTAGTGCTGATTGTCCAAACTCCCTTTGTAATCAATCTAACCATGGAGCCGATGGTGCATGCAAAGAGATCCATTCTACCCTAAAGGAGACACCAGGAGTGAGAATCAGTTGCTTAAACACACGTGGCAAGAGCAAAAGTTTCCCTGGATATCCATCCACGTGGGTTTGACTGATATACCATAGGGATAATCATTCCCTGGACAGAGGACATATGAGGGTCCTTGAGGCTTTCATTATCTGGTGAAATAAAATATAAGTAGTTTTCGTTACTGAGAAAAAGATTGAATTAATGACCAGTAAGGATTCCTTGAGCTGTTGCCTAAGTAAAAGCATAAAAGAAGACCCCGTGTGAGAAGGAAAGCACATGAATAAACTAAATAGGAACCACAATCCCTGCAATGCTAATGGTGGATATCAAAGAGAAATTTGGTCTTGTGGATGGCTCTGGTTCCTGATTCCCTAAGGAGAAAAGCCTTCCAACCTCAGCAGTAAGATGAGAAACAGCAAGTTTTTCTTGGTACTTGTATGCAATTGTTTCTTATTCCAGAAAAAGGGGAGTGCCCACAGAGATGCTGATGAGTCTCCATGGTCCAAATCATTGCCAAGACAGGTTTTGTTTCCATGACTTGGCTAAACTTGGGGCTTAGGAAGATCTCCAAGTGACTCTTTTGTGATGTCCACAGAGTCCTTGGCTGTTCAGTGTGGTTCATCTGAAGGATTATTTCTGTGAGGTGGTGTGAGTTGAAGGTTTGAACCAAACCTTGCCATTGCCTGGAAAATTTCAGTTATTTTAAGGTTTTTTCCCCCCTGCAGTTCTAATGTTTAAAGAACAATTATTTGATCATGTTATACTATACATGATCCCTTTTCACACTTGCTTGCGATTTTTCACCCCTACTAAATTCCAAAGTGATGTGGTTATCTTTAAAAGCTCAAGCTTTCTGGGAGATACAGCCATGTTGTAGCCTCCTTCCTGGGATTTTTGCAGCCAAACACTAAAATAACCAGCACACCCAGCAGCAAAATCGACCTGTGAGAAGATACAACACAGATGTGACTGAATTTGAACATGCAAAGAGATTCCTATCCAGCACGGCTAGATTCAACCTGCCCTTCTCACATTTCAGTGGTTTTAACTCCAGATCATGCAGCTCAAGCAAAATCTTGTTTATTTGACAGTAGTGTTCTCAGTAGACATCCCCAAATAACTCAAAGCTGACCACAAAAAATGGCAGAGCTGTAGCTCGCCAGGCTTTCTATCCTGCTTCTCCAGGACCTTCACACCTGCCCCTGCAAAATGCTGCATGCATAGCCTCTTTGACTAAGCTTCTCAAAAGCAGAAGAGATGAAAAGCGAGGCTGTGCATCTCCATTCTCTGCTGCAAGAGACATACTTTCCATCTCTAAATATGCCACAGGCACAGTTCTGTTGCTTTGAGGGATCTGAATATTGTTTGGACAAATTCACTGGGAGAGTGTTCAGGAAAAAAGTCACAGTATATTTATCTTGTCATATTTTCCCTTAGGTCACCACTGTCAGCCATAATACTGGGCTTGAAGGCCACAGTGCAGTTGTTTTAACATTGTTTTGTGCAAATTAATATGACTCTTGAGTTTGCTCTTTCTGGTTCCAGACCAAAGTGCATGAAATAAGCACAAGAGTGGGGTGAGAGTCAGTTCAATGCCATCCCTGAAATTAGGGGAGAGAAATATTGGAACAACACAGTGAAAACATTGCATTGGAGCATTGGAACGTCCCTGGAGGTTTTCAAGAAACATGAGATGTGGCACTGAGGGACATGGTTTAGTGGGCTCGGTGGGGTGGATTGACTGTTGGACTGGATGATCTTAAAGGTCTTTTTCCATCTTAATGATCTGATGATTCTATGATTGCCCTTAAACTAGGTAGGCCCAGAGGCTCAGATGTATCAGCCACTTCTGCAGTCTCCTATCCCCCTTACAATGGAGATAGAGGTTATGAGATCTAGACACACACAAATAAACAAATATGGGGAAGGATGAGATCGATGAGAAAGTGGTTCACATCTGTACCTTCACCTTGGCTTGAACTGCTTGGAAAGTGGAGATGAATAGTTCTATATGTAGGTATTGGATGTTTTGAATTCAACTTCCACACTGGATCCCAGCATAAAGCATCATACTTCAAGAAGGAGGCAATGCAGAAAATCTTGGAGATGTGAGCAACTGGTGTTGAGGAGGTCTTATCCATGCCAGGCACCAGAGAGGATAAAGCAGGAGAACCGAGAAAGATCAGTGCAGAGAGCAGGATTACATCTGCCTGCACTAAAGAAATACTTCTGAGCAAGACCTCACCACCTGAGCCTGCCTGCTTCAATCCCTCAATTCCCAGTTCTCCTCTATTAAAAATGAATAAAAATGATGAAATAGCAGACCTTTGCATTGGTCAGAGCATTATTTCTGCCTTTCGTGGACAGAGTGGTAATTTTCATGCAGAAATAACTTTGGACAGAGTTATTAAAAGATTAAAAAACACGCCCAAAATGAAAAAAAAAAAGAGAGAGAAAAAGAAATGCAGGCTGAAAAAACAAATATCCTTACCAGAACTCAGGGGCGTTTCTCATAACATCTTGACTATGTTATGAAGTCTGATTTATTTTCTAAAAATGAAATAAACAAAAAAAAAAAAAAAAAAAGGATGAGGTAGACTGGAACACTTTGCTGAAATTCATATGACCAGCTGATAAACCATATTAAAAGTCTCCTGTTGTAGCCTTGTGTAGTCCTGCAGCAGCAAGACTGCTCTGCAATCATGTTGATTCCTGCAGTGACGCAGAGGTCATTGCCTTGCTTGTGTTTTTGATAGGCTCATGCCTTCTCATTGTAGCACAGTTCACCTTCTATGGGTGGAAGTGCCCAGTACCTGTGGTGCAGCATGAGTGATGCTGAGAGCCAAGGGGAAAGTCCCCAGAGCTCATGACTGCGTCACGGCCCTATGCCAGCCACAGGCAGGTGATTGCCTTGTCTGGAAAACAAAAGGTGAAGCAGTTACAGGTGGCCCCATGTTGACATTTCAGGGCAATAACATGAAAATTCTGCAGAGAGGTTAGAAAATAAAATCTTGACAAACAATGGAAAAGCTGTGATTTCAAGTCAACCTCAGTACAAATGGCTGTCTGCAAGAGGATGGAGGATTTTAGAACTCGAGCACAAAGTGTCAAGACCCACTCAAACAGCTTTGATACCAGCATGCTGTGTCACTGCTGGCTTCAGCTCCTTCTTAAATATAAAAGTGAACATACAACATCAAGGGAAAACAGATGTATTTATACAGTTGCTAACATTTATTTGGGCCAGCAAATTCTAGGCATGTCTTAAATACCTCTACTATTTCTTTTTTTTTTTTTTTAATACACCAAGTCTCATGGAGATGAAATCACACTCCAAGGTGACTTCGGGACACACGACCTCAAAGCAGCCCTGGACTTTTGCCTTATGTCTATAGCAGGTGTGTTACAGCTTTATACACACTTGTCTCTTGAAAGGATCAAAATAAAGCAGAGTGTTTCACTTTCTATCATCTAGTCATTAAAATGGTATAGAAGCTTTATAGCTTCTATAGCTGCAGCTCAGGTCCAAGTAAGGAGTTAGGGGAAACTCAATGTGCCAGCCATAAAAAATAATGAAACAACAACGTGCCACCTCCCTCATAATTACAGTTTGACATCACGAACGTGTGGTATTTATTAACTTCAGCCTTTGGAGCTGACATCACTGCAGAGTCGGGGTCCGGGAAATCTCTGAGTCATATGGATCACAGAGCCAGGAAATGTCGGCAAAAGATAAAGTAAATAAAGTAAATATTGAAGTGAGAGGAATGGGAAGCTGGCAGTAGCTTCCTGAAGGAAGCCACAAGCCAGCTGCAGGCTGGGAACAGACTGTAGTCTTGGGTTAAATGTCAGCACTGAGCTCGGCTGACAAATGAAGGCAGAGCTTCTTGCCTAATGATGTCAGAGAGCGAGGTGATGTGCTCAAATATGACCCACAGCCTGGAATGTAAACAAGAGTCCTTCTTCACAGCTCATTGCAAAAGCAATAAGTGTTTCTGTGGGGGAAGCAGGATACGCTTCGATCTCTGTTAATTTTCCTACCAGATCCAATTTCCTGATCTATGGATTAGGGCTGGATGATGGTGAAGACTTTGCACTCTCGGCAGCTCTAAAGGCAGCTGGTGTCAGCTTGGTGTTGAGATGAGAGGGTGCTCTTAGTGTGACGCACAGGTTTGGGTGGACAAAAATTGTTTTGAATCCTGCTCGAGTTCAGCAGATGTCTGCAGATGAAGAAAATAAGTTGGAAACTATTATTCTTTTAAAACTAGGATTTAGGCATCCTCTTGTAGTCTTTGCCTTTTCAAGCAGTTTTCTTTATTACTTTGTTTTCCCGCACTTTCTTAGTGGAAGTTTATTTTCATAGACTCATAGAATTGCTTAGGTTGGAAAAAATTTAAAGATCACCCAGCTTCAATCCCCTGCCATAGACTGGTTGCCACCCATCAGATCAGGATGTCCAGGGCCTCAACCTGGCCTTGAGCACCTCCAGGGATGGGGCACCCACAGCCTCTCTGGGCACAACTTCTCTAGATAGCAGAAAATAGAGAATATTCTTGGGGAGCGGTGAAGAGGAACCAAAGACCCAGGAGGACCCACTGCTCTGCACTGGCTTTCTCTGGCCTCCAGGTGATTTGTTGGCGTGTCTGGAACCACACAGGGCTAAGCCTGGGCATGAAAAACTGAACATAAAATGTTGAAAAACTAAATAAAAGTTGATTAAAAAAATATTTTCTTCTGTTTTAAACTAGGTTCCCCATGAGAGCTTGATTACGTCGATGAAGAACTTTGTACAATGAAGCAGAGAACCCGGCGAGAAGAGAATTAAACTTCACTCATGCATCAGTGAAAGAGGAACTGTCTGTCTGATGACTTCTGGCAGTGCTGGCAGGCTTTTGCCAGAGCTGGTGAAGACATTTAAGTTTCACTTCACTGTGGGAACTTTGTCTGTGGCTTGAGATTGCCATCACTAGCAAAAGTTATTTTTCGATGCAAAGCTTTTGGTGTCATGTGCTGAAGCACAGCAAAATTTAATTTGTTCATTTATTTTTTTTTTAATTATTATTTTTTTTTCTCCTGTAATTGCAGCCCTGTCTGGGGAAATGGAAGGCTTCTGGAGGGAAGGATTCTGTGCCTTTGCACAGCTCTAATCCTAGCACTGGTTGTGTCTGATTGCAGAGCAGGAAGTGGGCATTTTCATTCTCCTGTCTCTGCTCCTCTTTTGTAGCTCTGCAGGTTGAGGGAAGAGGAAGTCCCTGGTTTACACTTCCTTTCAGGTGCAGCCTTTTGTAGCATGACTCATTCTGTGCTCATCTTTGACATGTAACTTTGCACTCACCATCCCCTCTCCTCCTGCAGCCCTTCCATGCCTGGCTCCTTCTGGACACCCAAAGCTGCACAATGAGCCTGCCCTCCCACAAGGCATGAAGTGCATCCAGCTGCATCCCACTGGCCTCGCTGTTTAGTCCCATACATTTGCACTGCTTTATATCATAAGTCCTTGCCTTTTGTCATCTTTTAAACTCTCTCTGACCCCTTACAAGGCTTATTGCTACCTCATGCGAGTTTCTGGTAGACTCTAGAAGTCTCTGATGCTGGATTAAGCAGGAAGGGTTGGCATTATTAGAATATGTGGAAATGCAAACTTTGATTAAAAAAAAAAAGAATTCAGGTGTTTGCAGTTTCCTTTTTTGGCTAACTCTCATTTTAGCTCATTTTGGAGCACAGTGAAAACAAGAGGAAGAACCAGTTGTCTTTGATTCTTTGTTATATTTGGTACATTGAAAGTGATTTTAAAATTACCCCAGACTGGGATTAGAGGATCTTGTGGTATAATTCCTCTGAGGCCTAAGATGGTTAATGATTAAACAATAAATTAAACAGCATCGAGTTCTTTGATGCATTAGTGCCACATGACTTCCAATTGCTTTAATAGCTTGATCTCCCTGAAATTCCAATCTTATCTTTCATTACTGTGGCCTAACAGGAAGGGAAAAAAAAAAAAAAGCCATGGGAGAGAGTAGCAGTATTTCTAGTTGTTATCTGAGAGTGCCAAAGCCTGTGGCATGCTATGTATTACTACACAGTAGAAAACTGAAACCAGGACTTTACTGGCCAAAGAGGTCACCTGGCCATCTAAGAGGATCAAACACCCTCAAGGGGCTTTGCAGTGTTTTTATTTAGTCTAGATGACATGCATCTCTCTCATCGTGTGATCTTTAAACTAAAATTGGCACCCTTATAATTGTGCTCTGTGGAAAAGTAGAGAGAAGAACATGAAAAGATGTCCTCTCCTCTGGCCAAACCAAGCCTTCAGGCCTTCAAGCAACAGTTGATTGTGTGCTGATGTTCTGCACTGATCCAAATTTAACTTCTACATCCTGTGTGGCTTGCAGGTGCTTCTCCAGGTTTTTCACAGGGGCTGTATGCCATCTACAAGTACTTTCCAGATGTTTCAGGTGTCAAAAAATGTCTTGAATGGTCATGGCAGTGATGAGTTGGACTTGATCTTAGAGGTCTTTTCCAACCTTAATGATTCCACGATTCTATGATAAATGGCACTAGATATGTCTACGTTAATGAAGAAACCAGTTGAGCTCATGAATTTGACCCCATACAATTCTACCAGGCAGAGAGAACTGAAGTGGGATTTTTGTGTCTGCTTGGAAGAGCTGATCAGTGGGCAGTGGATGTGTCAAGGAAGGACAACTGAAGTCAGCAAGTAAAGGAGACTATTAGTGAGAGCAGAAAGGAAGGGCAGGAGAGAAGTGGTTTGACAGAAAAACAAGGAGGTCTCTCCACTTGTCCTGCGGTTGCTTTCTCATTTGACTTGTTTCTTGTTTCAAGCACTCATGCTGGCAGCACAGCAGACCCCACAGAAGACTGGGTGGTTTGAGTACTGCGATTAGAAACTTCCTTCCTGCCAGTCTAATACAAATTCAAAGGAGGACACAGCACAGAAAACACTGTCTGTGTTTGATGCCATCCTCGTTTACCAGAGAGTCATCCTTGCTATTTGATGGGTCTCTAAGATTCTGAAGTATTGTGCTGAAATGTAAATGATAAACGTGACAGTTAGATATGTTATGAAATGGCTGTAGTTGGAAATTGTGAAACAGGACCTGCTGTACAGAGAAGTTGAAATCTCGTGCTTGGAGGATGCAGAAGAGTGAAACAGAGATGAGTCTGGGGAAGTATAAAGCTTGCAGCACATCCTGCCCTGACTGCAAAGTGGGCTTTTCTATCTCTGACAGCCATCATGAAGAGTGCAAAGCCAAATGAATAACATACGTCTTTGGGAACATGCAGGAAAAGATGCCCGCCACATTTAATATTGGAGATGGCCATAATCTTACCCCAGTTTAGGACTTTGATTCGCTTGCTTAAACTTGCTCCAGATGTAAGACATCTACATGGACTTGACAGATACAAGACAGGGTCAGCAAGACAACAAAGCTGCCATTAGGATTTGATGCTATAGGTCAGACAGAGTTCATGTCAGTTGTCACTGCACACCTCTTGCGACTGGATTTCAATGTCATTAGGGCAGTACAGTGAGGTTTTAAGGGCTGGATCCACAAAGAAAACAAGTTGTGGGACCTCCATTCAAACTCAGTCACTCACAGGTCGTTATGGGTATAATCTGACTCACCTTCACCCAAGGAGAAGCACCTTTGACAAGTGGCTGCTCCAGCTTAAAACTTAGAGACTGTGTCAGAAAATCAGTACAAACATGCTCTCAAAGCCCCAGGGATGGCTTAGCAGGTTGGAAACACAATGTAAAAAGGCAACTGCTGCTCTGTACTGCTGTGCATGAGGCTTGAACTTCAGCTTTGAAGACTGGGAACCCAAACCCCTCTCAAGCATCCCATGAATTTTCAAAAAGAGAGAGCAAGATACAGCTGGAATTTAATAAAATAAAGCTCCTGTTTTACTTTATTTTTCCCCTAGCTAAATTACTTTCCTTATTCAACTCAGTTTTCCCAGACATTTACATGCAGCAGCCAAGAGTCATTTTTGTACTGCCCTGTTTCCACTGGCGGTACCTTGCTTCCAATAGAATCACAGCACATTCCATTAGTTTTCACACTCATAGACAATCACATTTATCTGTTCACTGCCCTTCAATGGCAGGCAGCTTCTACTGGATTTCTGTATGAGGACCATACCCCCTACCCACTAATTGACATTCAGCTCACAGAATCACATCAGTGCAGTGTGATGGTGGAGAATATCAATGCACGGAGCCAGGAGGGGGAATGGGAAGGGATAAGTTTAAAGTTTTTGGAGCATTGCAGCAAATGCAACTGGGACTTCTTGCATCAAAGCCATGTAATATGGCCGTGTGCCCCAAGCTCTTCTTTAAGGGTCTCAAATGATTTCTGAGATGGACATCTGCCCTTCAATGCATTCAAAAATGAGGCTGGGCTTTGACAAAATGAATGCTGGAAACGTCTCTGCTTTTCAACTTAGGGTAATGGGAAATAGGGCAGCCTTCAGCCTTCACTGCACTCTGCTAGATATTGTCCTGGATCTGAGGATCAGAGGCTGAGAGGCATAGTTTTACCTCGTGGTTAGAGACCTGGATTGATGCTAAAGAGAACTGGATTTTGTTTCCAGCTATGCCTTTGGGATGACCACAGGCATCTCAGCCCATATCTCTATACCACGTTTTCCTTTTAGGTTAAATATTTTCCTTTGAAAAATCAGGTGGGATGCTGCCAAAAAAAGCTGCCACAAGATTAGATGAGCCCAATTATTCATTTTAACAAAACTCAAAGTATGAAAGAACGTAAAATATTTAAAAACCCATGAGGAAATTGTACACTGGGTAATTGGGATTTACCTCAGAAGTTAGGGACATGATTCAGTTTCCCAGCAGAGCTGCCTGGTATCACATGTGAGGCTAAACAATACCTCCCCAGCCTCCAGCATCCACCCCAGAGAGAAAAACATCTCTTGAAGACCAGTGTCTTCCAGGTCCATGATGCCCTGATAATCCAGATACTCAAAAAGCATCTCAGCTGGTTCCAGACATCTCCAAGCATGCCTATTAGTACAGCCCTAGGTTTCCACTGACCTTAACATGAAGTCAGTTGTCCTTCTCAAATGGGGATGTCTGTGCATAGGGAAAGGTCAGTTGTTTGAACAGAAGTTTCCGATGTCACTTGTGGTCTTTCTACATGGGGCTGGCAGATGCAACACAGGCCTAGGAGACTTATGTGTTCTTGTGAAGTAGCAGATGGAGAATCATGCTGGGAAACTGTGGGGTAGAAAAAATGACACAGAAGATCAGGTCAAGCAGGTGACCTTAAGGAGTTTTGCCTTGATTTTAAGAGATGATAATCCAATGGTTTCTTGCGGATCAGGGAGCCCAGGCACTGGCTTTTGTATTCAGTCCTTCCTCCCACTGAACTTCTATTTAGAAGAAGCTAGATTTTTTGAATGAGGAGAGCTGAGATTTAGGAGATCTTGAAGGTTTGAGGGCAAGTTACTTCATCTCATTATGCTCCAGAGCAGATAACAATATTTCTTCCTCCTTTTGTCTGCTAGGAGATAAAACTCAGTAAGAGGAGTCACTCCTTAGATGACCAGGCTGGGCTGCCTGCTCTGGTGGTTGGCAACCCTGTCCATGGCAGGGGGTTGAAACTAGATGATCTTTAAGGTCCTTTTGAACCCAGGCCATTCTATGATTCGAGCTGAGCTTGGCACAGCTTTTCTGCATACTCTGAGCCCAGCTTTGCTTATACAGTAACGCAACCTTCTTGTTAAAAAGGAATATTTTTTAACAGTTTTGTTTATTTTTGTCTGGGGAGAAGGGACAGCCTCTTGCAATATTTGTGGACAACCCTTGCTAAAAGGAGATCTGATCTCAGGCACCGTCTCCAACCAGGACTGTAATTCCAGCGGTGATAACAATAACAAACATGGCAATAACCATGCCCAAATATAGCTCTTGGCACTGTTTTTTCCTGTTCAAATACCAATTCCTGTGACTGTCATTCTTTGCAGGCTTCCAAATCCTGGCATTTGGAAGTTGCAGTTGCTTCCAACAGAGCTTTTTGTCCAGCAGGGATTACTTCCAGTAGACTGCTCTGCAAACTGTGATGCTGCACTTCGTCCCTCCAAGGTAGAGATAGGAGCAGCGTGTGACTCATGCCTCTCATATGATCCTGAAAAGAGAATTCATCATTGGTTCAGCTATGCACGTAATTTTCACCTTATATCTTCCCCTTCTGTACAAAAAGATTTTCTCATCATTTCCTCTTTTGGCTTTGGGAGTTGTGAAAAGATCTTCTTCCTATGTTTTTTACAGTCCTTTTCTTAACCCACTTTTTTGTTGTTGTTGTTCTGCAGGGACATAAGCCCACCTCCAGAAAGCCTGGGCATGGAGAAATGTGTTTCCAGTAAAACATACAGCTGGCTCAGCACCCAGAAGGTGCCAAGGATGCTGGACGTGGGGCTGCATTACAGTGCTGCAGTTGAAACAAGCGTAGATTGGGAGAAATGCTGTTGTTTTCTTCCCAAATTAGTCAAAACCAGAATGAAATATTAGCATTTTCCAGAATTGTTATCCCCCGCCTTAAGCTTGACTCTGGAAAGAACTTATCTTGGTACTTCTAGTCCAAAGTAAATATTTTCAAAGTCCTGAATTTAATGAATTTTCTCTATTTTCTTTTTTCTGTCATTTTTGGGAGTCATGTTTCCATTAAAAAAAAAATAAATCAGATTCTTTCTAGCTGTCAGATGCTATCTGTATTCTGGTTTAATTGTTTCAGGCTCCTTTCTTCCCTTGCCAAGCACTGCCTTCACCTCTCTCACTGGATGAGTGTGAGCTTGGTGGGATTGAAGGTCCGAGGAGTATAATGGAAAATGTTGTCCATATTGTGAGGCTGCTGAAAAAAAATTTAAAAAAAAAGGGAAAAGAAAGAAAGAAAGAAAGAAAATGGTTCAAGGTACAGGAACTATTTTTACAAATTCCATGTGTAATGAAAATAGGCAGAGCATGAGGTCAGCACGACCCAAGCGAAAAGCTTCTTTTCTGCTTAACTAAACAAAACAAATAGATTCAAGTTATTTTGCCAGAAATGAAGTTGTTTGTTTTCATCTTACTCAAGGGAAAAAGTAAAACTCTGTGTATATGTGGACAGCAAATCCACGGACAAATCAAGGAAATCTTCAGTTATGCAAAAACTGCACTTTCCACTAACCTAACTGATGGGAAAGGGTACATAATCCCTGAGCTGATGGAGTGATGGGTTTGCTCAGACATGCCTGATTATATGAGTATTCAAGAGAAATTTATGAAAATTTCAGAGAAATGTCAGGAAAGACTGTTTATGCAGAAGGAAAAGCAGATCCTCAGTTTCACTTGCAACTTGGAAAGCAACAAGGAGCAGCAGAACAACCTCCTGCAGATGGACAGAGCCATGGGAAACTGAGCATAGGGTGAAGAAGAAGAGGAGATTCCAAGTGAAAAGGCTGAAGGAAGAAGCTGGAGGGGATGAACACAAAGTAATACTGAACTGGTTCAGATGTGATTCAGCAGACAGATGAGGAAAGCATGGACAGTGCTCAGGACGCTTTGAGTCTTCTTCCCCTCCATTCGACGACTCTCTGGTGTAGCTCATGCTGATAGCACAGTGTGATCACACAAACTCTGGAGGTATGCTTTCACAACCCTCTGACAAATCTGGAAGATCTTCCTAAAAAGTGCAGCAACAGCCCTGTGACTGCCAAGGTTGAAGTTCCTGGGTTGAACCACCAAGTACTTGATACATAGGGAACACGGTTTAATGGGCAATGTAGGTGGATGGTTGGACTAGATGATCTTAGAGCTCTTTTCCAAACTTACTGTTTTTATGATTCTACGACCAAGACAGGCCCAGTATATGTAGAGCAGGAGCTAATGTTAATAAATATCCAGGAGCAGATGTGTCTGGAAAGGCACTCCTGCAGCCTGCAGTCACCTGCTCTGGGATTCTCAGGGGTGACTCATTTCCTTCCATCAGTCACAGACATGAATTCCCCTTGGCATTGTTGCACGGTGAGGTCAAGGTACTCCTATGCAGTCAAATAGCAATTGTTTGTTTCTGTGAAATATGCTGTGTCTAACTTGGTTCAAAGCAAGGCAATGGCTTCTGTTCTAATACTGTAAATGATTTCCTAGATGGCAGGTGGAGTGAGTCAAGCTTGGACATGTCTTTTCCCATCAGCACTGAAAGATAGACCAGTTAATTAACAGACAGAAGGACAAAGCATGGGCTCGCTGGATCCCTTTGGAGCACTGTTTTTAAATAATCATAGAGAGATTTGTGAGTCAGAGAGGAGCATCACCATAATCTAATCTGGCCTTCATGCATATCAGAAGCCAAATGATTGCACTCTGTATATTCAGTACTGCAGCAAGGTCTTTGGGTCAACTCTCCCTGGGGTGGTAGTTGAACCTATGCCCTAGAAGGGCATAGGCTCTTTGTCTTTCTTCCCAGGCTCACAGGCATGGAGAGATCAATAAAGATATTTTTAAGGTATTTCCTGGTCCCCAATCCAGTAATTTCCACTTCCCAGAAGTGAGAAAGTATTCTGGACTCTAAAAACTGCCTTGAAGAAAATAAGCAGAGGGACAAAACTGTGTTCTCATTTGTCCAGTCATCCCACAGTATCCAGGTGGTTCATGTGCTTACTCAGATCAAGGGATCTTCATTGGAAAGCCAATGGTTTTGGAGGCTGATGGATAGCAAGGAAATGGCTGGAATAAAGGACAGCCTGGACCATCCATGGGTGGCAGAGCTAAGGCAGCCCAACTTGGCAGTTCTTGAAAATGATCTGTCCAGCTCCCTGCCTGTGTGTATTTCCAACCTTTCAGTGATCCCAACAAACCCTGTGCCCCCTTGCAAGTCTTTGAACCACATAATTCTGATTGTGCATGAAACATATGGTTTGGAAAGGAGGAACATTTAGAGGACTACTTTTCTATAGTTGACTTTATTTAGGCAGATACCTTACACTCAGTGTAATCCCAGGAAAATATCAGGCATTTGCAACTGTGATTCATTTTTCCTATTTAAGTAAAACACCCCACACTCTGGATACAGTTGTTCCATTGCATTGACAAAAGGAACAAGGAGTTTGAATGCTGATAGAGCCCCTCATGCTCGATTTGCTAATTCCTATATTAAATCAAGCCAGATGTTTTCCTACAGCATGGCCCGGCTTGATCAGAAGAGCAGGGCTGAGTCACTGGCGGGCTGATGAGACCCCCTTGGGCTCCAACCTTTGCATCCATGAATAATCACTGTCGAGTGGCAAAAGCACTGTCTTAATAGGATTCAGAGAGGATTGCTTGTTCAGATCTCAAAGGCCAGCTGTCGCAGTGCATTACATCCATCCTGATCTGAGGTCAGACTTGGTAGTTGAGCGATATACACTAACAACAGCAAGACATCCTCCTCATTTGTACCTGCCAGCAATGTGACAGACACAGCATATCAACAAGTAATTGTGTGTATTTATATAAGGAGGGGCGAAAAATTTTTTAACTCTTAAGATTTTTGCCTCTCTTTACGTGCATGTGCATGCATGTACTATTTTATTTCTGCTGTCAGTCTTTCTATATTGAGAAATTCATTAAAAAACCCTCTTCTGGTCTCATTTGTGCTGTGGGGTGTCTGATGATACTGATGATACTTCAGTCCATAATCTTGATCAGTGTCGGTCCCAGCAGAGGCTGCCGGATTTACCCACACCTTGCATGATGTCCTGGATCTGGCAATACTTGATGTTTTAAGTTCAAGAAGAGAGTTCTGATCTCCTTTCTCCACTCAT